CCCACCCCCTTCCACCCCCCCCCCAAAGCACCCCCTCCCCCTTCCCACCCCCCAAAACCCCCACCCCTATACCCCACCAACCCTCACAACCCGCCACGGCACCTCCAACCCCCACGCCCTCCGCCCCGCCCACTCGCGCACCTCGCGCCCCGCCACCGCCGCCGCGCGGAACTGCTCCCGCTCGCGCGCCGTCAGCTCCCCGCGCAGGTGGTGCGACAGCGTCCGCTGGGAGAGCGCCGGGCCGTCGTGCCGCATCTCGGCGTCGTCGGGGAGGAGGATTACTTTGGGTGGTGGGGGCGGTGCGGCGGTTGGGTTGGTGGTGGTGGTTGGGGTGGCGAAGAGGCGGAAGGCGAAGGAGGCTTCTTCTTCTTCTGCTTCTTCGTCGAGGGGGGTGGGGTGGGTTTGGTTGGTGGTGGTGTCGTTGTCGTCGCTGTCGCTGTCACTGTCGCTGTTGGTGTTGGTGTCGCTGTCGCTGTCGTTGTTGTTCCTTGCAGGTTTGGTTGGGGATGTAGATGTGGTTGGTTGTGCAGTTGCTGGTGCTGGCGTAGTGTTTATTGGGGCCACCTCAAGGTCCAGTGAGAGGAGGCTGCCAAGGCGGGCGTTGAGTTTCGCCCGCAGGGCTGCTGCCACTTCATCGTCTGCCTCTGGACTGGAGTGACGGTCCGAGGATGAATCGTAGAGATCCTCTCGTCGGACGCTGCAGGGTTCAATTAGTGGATCGGCTTTGTTGTGACATTGGGTGACGAAACTTACCGTTTTGCGTCTGGGAGGTCAAACATGGTAAATGGATTAACTGGGAACAAGTTTACGAGTGACGGCGGATCGAAAATCGAGGTGCTGGTGAGCAGAGTTGGGGATGTGAAGCTTGGTGTTGAGGTTGGCAATTTTCGGCAGCTGGCAAACAGATGTGCGCCGGCTTGAGGTAAGGCCAAGCAAAACCACCAATATTAACCCTAACCCTGTAGATCCAGCATTCCCAGCCCCTGGATCCCAAACCCCTGAACTCAAAAGTAACTATCTTACTGCCACAATGAGCGATTCGGAGATGGCCTTCCGTCGTTGAGTTCTGCCATGACTTGCAGACCGCTATGGTCCGTTTTCGGAGGCTCACCCGAACGGCTCGGGAATAGCACCAACAAGGACAAGTCGAATGGCCTCGTGATGTTTCCCAGAACTAGAGCAAGAGGTTGAGCCCCTGTGGGTGGGTAACCGGGTTGAGTCTCGCATAGCATAGTCATTTCCAGTGAAACCACGCCGTCGTATACACAAGGTTGTAATAACATCGGTAGTTGCGGTTGACGGCTGAAGGTAACCTCTGCGGATAACCTGGGAAGATATAAATAGATTTCCAACCCCTTGAGCCCCATCCGAGCATGTTTTGAACAAAATGCACAAAAGCCATGAAACAACGCTTCGCAGAATTCGTGACTCAATATGTTTCAATTTTAGCTCGCTATGTACAACGCCGTGCAAGCGATGGGTACACGGCAATGCTAACTCCCCCCGCCCCTTTCCTCCAGCCAGTACATACACGCCAATGAAAGTAGCAAGGAGTATCAACGTGGTTTGACCCAAGCGACAGACAGTGAAGGGGAATCCACTCAAACTCATCAGTCGTAAATGCAATGTAACAGTAAAGTAGAAGTGTGAATGGGGTAACATAACATGTGGTATCAATCCAAACAGCCGCTGCTTGCTCTCCATGAAGTGTAAATGTAGACATCACAAGTAAACGAAGGAATGGGGGTGGATCGGGTAATGGACAGAACCGGTGATGAAACATGTCGGAACAAATGAAAGGAAACAATAATAGGAGAATAAACGATCACAACCTCCCCGCCCCCCCAAGCGCAACCAAGGTATTCTGCCTGCCATGCGAAACGAAACAAAACAGCAAACAGAAAACTCAAACACGGCAACAGTTGTTTTTCGAGACCGAACCGAGCCGACCCCCCCCTATGTACCGCCAAAAAAACACACGGCCCTATTCTGTGTGTTATCGGTACCGTAGTCCCCCTTTTGTACTCCCCACCTATCCGTTTTCCAATTGTGTCTTCGAATCGCATCGGTTCGAATGTGTTGAAGGTTGTAGGACAGCAGCTGCTGGAAATGGCAAGCTGCTGATCAGAGCGACGGCGTGGTGTTCTCCTTTTAATAGTGTACAAATCTGTCGGCAAGTGATATGTTGATATGTTATGTTGACCGATTACGCGTGAGCGCTCGAGTGTGTGCGTATGTACCCTCACGCCGTGTTCCACGCATAGCCGTATCCACCTTGTGGTGCGGTCTGCGCAGCACCCGCGGCCGCATGGGGATGCGTCTCCGCCTTCACCCCGTGGTGATGCCCGCTGGCGCCACTCCCGGCAGTAGCAGTGGGATATCCGTACGGCCTCTCCACGCCGTGTCCGGGCCCGCCAGCCGCGTCTCCGCCGCCGCCCGCGGTCGTCGTCCAACCCTGCGACGTGGGGAAGTAGTCCCGAGGCGGCGGCGCCTGTCCGCCAGGTCCGGCAGCCGCAGACTGCGAAGCCCCTCCGTCTTGGGCGTAAGCCCCTTGCTGTCCCGCCCCGATCTGCGGAGGCGGGGGAAGCGCCGGGTGTTGGCTCTGCGGGCTTGTTTCCGGGGCCGGGTAGCCGCCGCCCTGCGTTTGGGGAGGTGGCGGGCCGTAGCGATACTCGCCCGACGCGGTTTCGTTCGAGATGGACGAGGTGACCGACTGGTGGCTCGCATGGCGCGGCGACTTGGATGGCCGCGGGTTGGCATCGCCAATGTAGCGGGGCACTGCGAGCGAGTTGTCCGGAGAGGTGGTGCCCGTTGTTGAGGAGAGGGAGAGGTGGTGCGGCGGGGCTGAGGTGTAGGTTGCGAATTGGGTGCGGATTGGGGGTTGAGGTTGTTGTTGGTGGGGATGTTGGTGATGTTGGTGTTGGTGTGGATCGTGGGATGCCGAGAGCGGGAGCTGGACTGAGGGACCCATCGAGGTCGGTTGCATAGGCATTTCTTGGGGTTCGGCCGTGAAGGTTTGAGCCCCGGATAGGGGCATCTTCGGGTATGGATCTGCGGGTATTGTAGAGGCTGGGTAGGTTGCCGACCCGGGAGTGTGCGGCATCGAGACTTGCGGCGGAGGGTTCCATGTTGTTGGGTAAGAGCTACGCGTGTTTCGTTAGTTGATTGCCCCTTTTCTCTCTCCCGCCGTCGCTCGTCCTGCGTCAGCGTAAGGCTTGGGGTGAAAACTCACTTGGACCGCATCTGCATCGGACTTTGCGGCATTTGCTTCGGCGCGGTAAATGTGAATGCAGACCGGGGTACATCCAAGCTAGACAGGCGCGGGCGCGAGTCGTATGGGGGCTTGTTGAGGATGACAGCCTGCGCGACGATACCATGGCCCGTCTCGACTAATGTTTGTCCCCGCGAACCAGCACTCGACCCAAGCAGCGGGATCTCCTTCCTTGCCTGGAAATTCCTCGGACTCCGCCCACGCACAACAATCGGCGCTGTCGTCATCTCGGAGAGCACTAGTTTCTGCCCGTTGGCCAGGGTCCCGTGCAACTTCAGGTGTAGCACAAAGTGCTGTTGGAGCTCCTTCCTCCTCCCATTGTTTGCCGTCGCTCTGGAGTCACGGGTTAGCAGTTATCTTTTGAAATCTGGTCGGTGCATGGGGCTTACATCCTGAACTGCAGCCGCCTCCAACCGATCGGGTAAATGGCGTAATGGTCGCCCCCATTTTCCTCCTCCTCCTCGGACGGCGGAATCAGGGGTAGCGTCGGGGGCTCTTGGTCAGGCGCTTGGTTTGTCTCGGGCGAGTTCGGCGGCGGCGTCTTCCAAGGGATCACGATAAGGCGCACTGGGTGACCGTCGACGGATTCAATCGCCGAGATGCTGACCTCCATGTTCTTGATCTGGCTCGTCTCGCCCGACTCGAGGAGCACCGAGAGGGGGATCTGCGGAAAGCATAGGCTGCCGCTGATCTGGAAAAGGTTGCGTCGGTAACACGTCAACTCGGCGTTGAGTGCGTTGCCGTCGCCAGCTCCGGAGGGAAACTCGGAGAGAAAGAACATGCCGTGCAGCTGCGCGTCAATCTCCATCTCATGGATCCGGCCCTTTGCGTCAACGATGGTGTGCTTGTCCCCGACCTTCTTGAACGACAGGAGCTTTTGGTCATGGTTTGGCGGCTTGTAGTCATCCCGCAGGTCCTGGACCATCTCGGTGTACGGGGCCTGGTCTACTTGCGAGTATGGCCGCTTCAGGCTGTTGATACTGGGGATGTTCATTGATGGGTGCGGGTATCGGTCGTACGGCTCGCCCTCCTCTTGGCCGGGCCGGCCAGGTTGGTATTGCGGGTAGTCCATAGTGTGGTGGCTCCTGGGACGCACAAGATGCGATGATGATGGTGGTGGCACCGATGCTGATGGGTCCTGCGGGTTAAAACGGCCAGCCATTTGTACCGGATTTCCATAGTTGGACCATAGGTTGCCGTGTTGCGACTCAGCCCTCAGCTCTGCCATCGTGTAAGTCGCTGTGGCTGACATGGAAGCATTCCCTTATCCCCAGGAGCAGTCAACTCTATCGCTGCAAGACTTGGATGGAACAAGCAGCTAAACTGTGACAGGACCTGCCCTACGCCTCCTCTCCTGTGTTCAGCAGTACGGCGTATTGTTAGGAAGCGTGGAAAGATGGGCCACTCTGAGATCAAAACAGGTCGGGTTTTGGTCCGGCGGTCGAAGGGGAAGAAATGGCAAGAATGGACCGCAAGCCACGACCGGGTTGTAGGGGCAGCGTGTATGTACTTGTATGTATATGCTAATACCGTCAGGCGCTGGACGGGGCCGTTTTTATGAGAGGCTTCGGCACTGGCCCGAGGGGGTGCGGCAAGGACACAGAGAGGCGAGGCCAAGGCTCCCCGAGCGGCTCCTCATGGGTGGGCTCCGAGGGGAGTGTTGAACACCGCTTGCAGGGCCGGTGCAGAAGCGTTCCAACCATACAGGGAAGGAGGTTGAGAAACGGGGGCGATCTGGCAGGCATTCCCGAGGCCCCTTGCTCTTTCAGATGGGGCAAGATACCGGCCGGGGCCCTGACCCCATCAAGGACCGGGGTGTGATTGCACCCCTTCTCAGGCATTAACTGCTATGGTTTGTTTCTCCTGGGCTGATGAGGCAAAGAGGTCCACGGCATAGGATAGCATCGTCTTGATCTCGAACCCAGCAGTCCAGTCCCATAGATCCCATAACTCATCATCTCCGGGCAGCGCCTAGAAACAGTACCGACACACCAGCTTCGAGGTGACGCGCGAACCATGAATGGCAAGGGCAAGGGTAACGAGAGGGGTGTATCTAGGTACCTCGATGACCATGCAAGACAAGGTCAGAGCTGTTCAAGACAGCCCTGCCCTGCCTGACCTCTGCCGAGCGGGAAGCAACATCAGCAGCAGCAGGGCCTTCGGACACTCAGTGCGCGGGCTGGATGAGGAATGGCCCGCCGAGCAGAACCATAACCAGCAGCAGGATGGGGGTACTGTGAATGGCTGCGAAAAGGGGGGGCGCATCTTGCTACGCCAAGCGATCAGAGGGGGGGATGGCGGACAAACGGCACGTCCGCCCTCGGCCCCTCCTCATCCAGCCTGAGGTCAGGCAGAAGGTCCCCGGTTCGACCTTCCAGGTTCGGCCGAGGAAACAGGGGCATCTGATTAGCACGAGAAATCCTCCGAGGTGACTCTGGGTGGGCAGCTTGCGACCCCGCAATTTTCTAGAAGACCGTTGGGTGATAAACGCGCCGATGAAGGGCCCCGTCCTTGAGAGGGGGAAAAAGTCGGATTCACGAGATTACTCTCGACCAGGGTAGACAACAACGAAACCGACTGACCCCAGCAAAATTCGGCTGGCGGAGATGCGCACAGTCCACCCTTGCCCTCCCCCGCTCTATCGACATCGCAGAGGCAATATCGGAGTCGCTATAGATGGGTTCAACCACCGTTGCGAACGCCTCTTTGACATTGCAATTGGCAGGAGAGGCTTAAACGAAATCACCAGCTACACACAAAGTAGCCGCCACTCTTGTACGCCAGGATATCGCCGTGGTTTGGTCATGACCCGCAACGTCCAGACCGAGCCAAATGACGGGCTCTCGCGGCAGAAAGAGGAAGTTGGGGCCGTTGTGGACCGAGGCAAAGTCTCGAGTCTGCTCCGCGTGCACGACGCGTTGTCTTTCGCTTCCTCTCAAGCAGGAAGGACACACAAGCGATCGGCGGAATCATTTGTTCAAGGAAAAACGAGGAACGAGAGTTGATGGGTCAGGACTCGGTCCTGTTGTGCGCGTGCCCCTAAAAAGAGGGCAGGCGAGCGAGTCGTGCAAGAGTCGTATCCGCATGTTATGGTTGTCCCAAGCAGCTGGGTGAGAGCGCGCCGTTGCTCGCCTGGTTACCGCTGTAACTTCATTGATGATGTGCGTTTCTTGCTGATGATTCTTGCCCAGGGGGGCTCACAGCGGGAGCCGAGTTCCCACAGCCGGTGGGGGGCAAGCTAGGGGGGGCCCGGGCTGCGCCGCCCGATCCGGTCGTAGCGCGGGCAGGGAAGACGCGCCTCAGCATCCGAAAGTCTCCCATGACAAAAGCAAAAAAGTGCGGAGGAAGCAAAACGGCGCCGCTTGACGACATTCCCGAATGGGAACTTGGTGCCTGGGCCCGCTTGCGCCATGACTCCGTGGAGACAGTGCATCCCGGTCCGCTCACAAGGTGGCTCGCGGCGAGACAAATCCACAAATCGACGTTGACCTCAAATCGAACTGCCATTGCTTTGCAGGTGTGGTGGCACGGCATCCCCATACATGTACGAAGACGGCAAGACGAGTTGCAAATGTCTTGGGTGCCGGCATCTTCAGGTGGCTTGTCGAACCACCGCCACTCCCCGACTATCAGCCGCCTCGAGCCCGGTGTGTGGTCCATCTTGGTCTTTCCCCTTGCCACGGCCACCGGTGAGCCTGGCGATAATGATGATAATGATGATGATGATGGGCGAGGTCACGCCACAGCGGATGCAGGCCATGGCTTGTTGAATGGGTTGCTTGCTGCGTCCTGCACGGCCAGCACGACCTCGCTCTGATTGGACCAGGCGCGCGGAACCGAAGGTACTGGCCAGCAAAGTTGACCTCTCAGACCCTGTTCAACAGCATGCCCCGTGCCGCATCGTGCATAGAGACAATGGAGCGGTGGTGCAACTGGCTGTCGTGGCAGGGAGTGTACTCCGCGGCATCTCGATCTGCGCAAGCTGCGTCGAGTCGCTCTATCGAGTTGAAGCCCCGAGGACTGCCTGCTCGATCAAAACGGCTGGCCCGCCGCAGGCAGTAACTCGAACTATTCGTAAAAGTTCCTGATTGCAGGGCTCGTCAGCTCGTCTTTCTTGGCGGCGGTTGACTTGAAAGAAATGGATATCGCTCGGTCACAATTTGGTCTTCCGGGGGCCACACGTGCAGCATTGAGGTGTGCGATTCAATGAATTTTAAATTACCCTGCAGGCTGGGGAAGGGAGGGGGGAGAGGAAGGGAAGGTGTCCAACCGCCGCTGTTTCTAAAAACGGACTCGGCAACGGGCAACGGGCCACGGGCAACGGTGTGTGGGAGCAAGTCACGCCCATCTCACGGCAGTCTTGTCTCGCAATCGCCGAAGGACCAGTCCTCTCTCCCTTCCCCGTCCTCTCCTACTTCCTCAGCCTCAATTTCTGAAAAGCGACTCCTCACAGCTCGTCACCCGACTGCAGCCCCCCGCCCCCCAAAAAACAATCCATAACCACGGTCCGCGCGAAGCGAACCTCAAAAAAACCCAGCGCAGGCTTCGGAAATACCGTATTTCTCACATCCGGCCGTCTTCGTCCGGATGTGGCGACGCTAGTAGTTGCTTGGCCTCCGGGATGGAGTGTGGGAGAGCGGGTCCCGTCACACCAGGATTTAAACTTTCCACTCCTCGTTCTCCCCTCTCGTCATTGTTGGCCGGCTGCTCGACACACACGGGGAGCAGGTCGAGAAATGGCGGGCCCCACCCACGTCAAGGACAAGCCCGTCCGGCTGTTACCGGTGGCTGTCCGTTGCAATTGCAACTGTCTGAGCTTGTTGGTGCGTGGGCGGACGTTGCAATCGCGATCGCATCGGGCAAAGTCAGGGGACTGGCCGCGGAGGATTTTGTGAGATCTGCCCAGGGCAGCTACGGATGCGACCTCTGTTCCCGCGCGCACCTGTCTGGCGCAGCCAGATCCTCTGTTGCTGGAAACATCGCGATAAGCACGACGTCTTGGGAGGAAACAAAACGCAACGGCATGGGACAGGGGCAATTGGCCGTGCGTGCACTGCAAAGGGGGGTTGCCACGTTCTGAGCAAAGTCCCCCAGTGAACCATGTGGCATGTGCGGCCGAACGGTTGCCCGTCGAGCCCGCGCCAATTGCTTGCCAGCTGTCCTGGCGTGCCTGGATAACGAAGGCGACTGGGTTCGCCCCTCGCATCTTTTCAAGGGTCGGCGTGTCTCATTTCGTCCCCCAAGCCGCCCAGGTTCTCGGAAAAGGAAGCGAGGCTCGCGTTCACACAGGCTGTCAAGCTTAACAACGCGGAATCAACTCCGTGGAGCCTCGGTGTGGGGCTAGGACAGGATGCAGGAGAAATTTACCATCTTCAGAACCAATACTCAAAAGCCGACGGCACCAAGGACCGCTGACACTTCGCCTACCTGCCTCAGCACGCGACAGGGTACAAGATGCAGACCGGCGTTTCTACAAGCACGAGGCAAGTTTTGTATCTCGTTTTCCCACACCTGGCATCACGCAGCCAACCGTGCCAGCAAAAGCCAGGGTTCGAAGGACTGTGTAACACTCTGCCCGGAACTTCAGCGACCCAGAATCTTCATGCGCCTCGATCTTCTCACAGCCGGTTTAAGGCTATATTTGCTGGCTAATATAGTGGCCGCCACACAACTTTGCTCGCCATTCGTCCTCGCCTGGCGCGCCAGGCTTGCAATGTTCTGGGCCGCCTACTGCCCTGTTTGCAAAACAATCGCACCTTGACAATGGGGGAAAACTATGCTACACTACCTGTCGGTCACGATGCACTCCGTAACAGCTACAAGTGATGTCTAGCATTGGTGACCGATGTGACATCCTGTCTGCTTGCCTCGACAATGGTTTGACGTTGCAGTGAGCCCGGCTGTCAACTCTCGGCTACACTTATCCCCCGCACAACGCACCCCAGCACAATTCCCACCAGAGTCGCAAGATCGACTACTAGCCTTCTTTCTTCTCCGGACCGATGGTGGGGAAGCGAAAGACATCTGACGCAGCCATGGTCAGAGCTGTCGAAAATAGAGCTGGGGCAATTCAGTACGACTTGCAAACCTGCGGCGACACCTCAAGCGCTCAGAAATGGCAATCGCACCACGATACCAAGGCGCCCATCATGACATCGCGCTCGACCGACGGAAGGATTCGGACGGCAGCTCAAATCTCTCGGTTGACCAGGCGGATGGTGCGCTAGCCTCCTTTTAGCAACATCCTCCGGTTCGCCGAGCAAACGAAGATCTCGGTCCCCACCCTCAATACAGGAGCTTGCTCGATCGAGGAACGCCTCCTGCGGCGGACATGGCTGAATCATCGATGTCCGTCTCGAAACGCGCCAGCCGATGGAAAGTGCTCACAGCAGCTTTGATCTTGGCCAGACGGATTATTGGCGGCTTTGCAGCTTCTTCTGCTTCCCGGCCAACAAATTAAGCCTTCGCAGCTTCTCCTCCTCACGGTTGGCAAGAATGGCGGCGTGCAGTCGCCCTCTACCCCACTTTCACAAGCTTTCGAGCTGCCTGCTCAGCCCGGATCACCAGATTGCCCACCCTCGGGAGCCCGTCTTTCTGGTTGCATCGATATTGAGGGCCTTCTAAGTAAAGAAACTCGATATTATCACGCATCGGCCGTCTCTACTGTCGATAGAGGAGGGGGGGCGGGCTGCAGCCCTACCCATCTCAGAATCCCAGCTGCCGAGTTATCGCGAGTTCTCTGGAACCCCGGCCGCCTGGTCTCAATCTACTTGCCACAGATTCATGTCGTCGATCTTGGATTGAGGCGTTTCTGGGAGTAACAGAATGATAACGAAGCCTTCTAGAAACATGGCGACAATATCCCACTGTCACCCGAATATCCAACCTAGAGTTAACTTGGTAAGAGCCTCCTCGATCGCCAACCATCACGATATCCACATGCACCCCGCAATTGGAGGCCCAACACAATGATATGCAGCTCGAACTCGCCCGGAACGGCTCGACCGAGACATGGCGCACTTCCAGGTCTTGCGCCAAGAAGATTTGGACGGCGCCAGACGGAAGGAGGAGGAGCCGGCAAATTTAAACAGAGGGCCCGTGGCCGTCAGCGTGAGCTCCCCGTGTTGGAGGGTCCTGTCGCTGCAGGTAGTGTCAGGCCTGCTGGCCGGCTAACGAAACACACTGGTCATTGACCACGATAACTATCCAGGGTTCCGGGAGGCTGGTGTTTCCCCAGCGGTGACAACGTTACTTGCGAAGTGCCAGTGGGTGCGGGAAGCCATCGGCGCCATGCAAAACTCCCTCACGGGATGATACCCTGCCAATCGAATCCGGGGGCGTCTGCCGTAGGCTATACAAGAGGGGCGCCGTTATGACCGAGCTAACGAGTTTAGCCTGGAAGGGCCGATTCGGCGGCACTGGCAATTTCCCAACCAATGACAGTTACCAATTACCCAGCTGGAGAAACAAGGTGCGGCTGCGTGGATTGTGGCGCACATTTGCTCCCACTCTCCAGGCCTGTCCCCTTGCCTTTTCTGTCAACCACCTGTCTTCCTTCGCTTGAACGTTGTCCCGCAGCAATGATTGGACTCGTCCGCCTCGCTTGCGCACTCCTCGCAACCGCCGTGCTTGGGTGGTTGTCGACAAGCAAGCAACCCTAGTTAACTATTCCCTTGACAGCCTCCCTACTAACGAGGACGCCCCCTTGACGAAGTCGACACCCCTCCCCCACACCACGAATGATTGAGGGATTGCATCTGGGCCGGAATTTACTCGCTAGCGTTGAGGAGGATTTCGCGCTGAAGGGGTTATCCCGCAAGCTGACCTCGCAGCAGCGGAGCCTGTGGCTTGTGCTCGCTCGCCTGGCCCCAGTTTGCCGTGGTTCCGACGAAATTCGTCCAAACTCCATGCTAACTCGACCCCGGTTCGCGTTCCTGGCGGCAACCCGAGCTTATCCGTCCCAGTCCAAACTCTTTTTGTCAACTGACAAAGCCGATGCAAGTTGCCAAGTTGGGCACTCCGATGCTGACCAAGAAGGATTTCGATGACGGACAGCGTGCAGACACTCCCGGCCTGCCGAGACCGGAGCCTCAGTACACTACTTGCACACCACATACTTGTTGTGGTAAGTGAGTCTTTGCCTTCACATCGGTCCTCCGTTTGATAAGCAACCGGTTCAATGCTTGAACATCACATGGGTTCTGTCAACCGAGGACTGGGTCGACTTATCCTGTTCCTCAAACAGGCATGGCGCTCCATGGATCGAGAAATGAGACAATGCGGGCAAAAAGGACTTTTCAGATGGCCCTTCTCCAGTTCCACATTCATTATGACATGGATTTCCACTACCCTCTCCACCAGAACTTTTGACTCTTGTTTTAAAAGACGTCGCTTAACGTTAGGGAGTTGATCATGGAGGAATAATCTCGGCACTGATCCGAGACATGAGGAGCCGCCGTCGTTGGAACCGTGTCATCACAGGGGGGCGATCGGGACGTCACTACACAGCTATCTCACGATTCTGCGGCTGGGACTCTTGGTGGGCTTCCAACGTGAAACATTGGCGAGGTTCGAAACGCTCGAAACACTCGCGGCGATGGGCGCGCGCTGCCCGCTTGTTTCCAGTTTCCCCAACAGGCGACAGGGCTCTCTTTCCTTGCCCTGATCGTTTTCCATTTGCGGAGACAATGCCGGTCGAGTGCAACCCTAACTCAAACCCATGCCCTTGTTGTTCAAGCTCGAGTCGAGGTTGCAGCGCCAGCGACGGGCAAAACTGTCACACAATCACTCGTTACACTCCACTCGCGGCGTACCTTGCAGCCCAGGAGGGCATGTCTGAACGGTACCTAGAAAGAACGGGGCCTAATTCAACATCCGTGATTCGCGACCCGCATAACCCATTCTTCCCTCATCACGGTCGCCGTCCCATTTCGAACGTCAACTCCGAGCAGAGATGGGTCACCACGACAGAAAGGGCAAGCAGCGACAGAAAGCCATGACGATGGAGATCGATGGAAATCGCATCTGCGTCATCTGCTCCCCCCCTCTCCCGGGCCGAATGCACCCAAGTTAACGCCCAGGGCCCCCTGACTGGCTTGCGGAAAAGGGTACCGAAAGGGCGCCATCCGTGCCCCCTTTGTGCCACGACCGCGTCGGGAAGTGTCAAAGACAGGCTTGTTGATGTCCACACCGACAAAAGGAATTCAACAAAGTCGAAAACGGTTCCCTAGAAACTCGGTACCGGTCAATATGGTCGAAGAATCATGGATGGAAAAGGGCGCCCGGGCCTGGCTCGTCCGCCTCGCGTCCAGGACCGTGGGAACGGCCGACTATGCAGTCTGTCTAACTTGGCTTGTGTCTGAATAACTGACTACTGAATAGCAAGCAAGTGGGAGGCGGACGCCGTTTTGTTTTGTTCTTGTTTTTTTGGTCAGTTCCCACGCCCAGCCAAAAACGAGATCGTCGTATGTATGGACGTCTGTCCAGACGCAGTGCAGTTACATACGGACTGTTTGGCACATCGCACGATCTGTGGGGAATGTCGCAACCCCGTCGGGTACCACCCGAGCATGCTCCAACATCCTCCCATCCTCCATCCGACCCTGTCCGTGATGGCCATCAGGGTTGCTTCGCGAGGTCAAGAGCCGGAATTACACCACCACCGGCAGGCAATGCCGCGGGGTGAAGGGAGTAAGGTAAACAGACTTCGGACGCAAGCGAAGGGCCGCAAACGACAAGAGACACACGAGCTTTGTCGTCCCTTTTGTTGACCGACGACTCGCCGCAACCAATTATCCAGCATGCATGCTCTTTGCATGGACATCATCGGATGCCGGGGCAAGGCCAAATCGGCGCATCTCGCAGGCCGTTGAACTGCTTGCTTTCCGCACAACTCGGCATGTAACGCTTTCTCTCGCGATTATCGCAGGGGGCGCCGCAGTATCGCGACAGGGTACGTCCGGGGGCGGCAAGGGAGGGGACGGGGTCTTCATTGGAAGGAGGTGCCAAAGACCGCGGCGGAAAAGCGGTGGGTGAGGGCCCGCTCCTCTGCGCCGCCGTTGATTCCCTCCCGTCCGGTTCTTCCTTGCCACTAACTACCACTCTGTTTCTTGTCTCCCTGGATGGATGGGGCAAGACGCGAGACGAGAAGAGAAGGTGCCCTGTTTCTCGGCGGTGGGGAGGCGGCCGAAAGGGGCAATACACCTCCTGCGCGTGAGATTAATCGAGCCGTTCAGTGGGCGGGGATCGAGCGGAGGTGATAGAGGCCGAACTTGGCCCGTCTGTGTCGAGCGTCTCTCTGTGGGTGGATGTGGCGGATGCAGGGAGGGGAGGAGGGGGGGTGGAAGGAAAAGTCTGGGACGAACTGCGTAGGTGGCTCAGGGCGGATGGAACGGCGGAGGAGACGGTGGTATTGCAGGTCTGCTCGTCCGCGCGTTTGTTTGGCTGGTTGGATGGCTGGCTGGCTCTGTCTTTTTTGAACTTGACTTTTTGATTCCGGCCGACTCAGCACCGATCCACCACATGATGGGGTCTGGCTGATGAGGCCATTGATTTGCCGCCCCAGAGCGAAACCTGCCAACAAAAAACCGGCTGGCCAGTATGGTCATCGTCGATGGTGCGCGGAAGGGGCAAAGCGCAGCCCCCCTCACCTGTCAAGAAAGTCTGGGCCACATTCTCTTGCACATCTCGCAGATGCTGACAAACGTGAGGGGAAACAGCTCCCATTTCCTTCGATCTCTAGGGCCAAGGAAATCGGCATCTACGAACGAATCGCGGAGCGCTATGTACAGCGGAGCAAGACTTGATAGAACAGAAAATCAGACTAAACACAGACTAACAAAGTACGGTCCCATATCAGCCAGCAGAGACGAAGTAACACCGCAGAGCATCCCATTTATCCCCTCGTGGGGAAGCCAATGTCACCCAACCATTGCAGGAAGGATTATATTTCCCGAATCTCTTTTTTGGGATACTGCACTCGATCCAGCAGAGCACAAGCTGCTCGCCGAGGAACGGAAAGGACAGGAAAGCGCCAATCTTATAGATTGTAACCAAACAATGCGTCCAGATGGACGATATCCCCAACGTGCCCGGCAAGCAGCAATGTTGGGAATCTCCCTGACTGGCCTCGCCTTGTAAAGTTCCCAGCAAACCGACGCAGTTACGGTCCCTTTCCTCCTACACACGAGAATGGAAACATAAAACACAAAACAAGGCAGAAACCCAAAACAGTCCGAAAACGAGTTATGCGCCTCGCAACCTCCCCCCCGGCCAGCTCAAACCAAACTGGATATGCACAGGACGAGCAAGAGCCGGATGCTACTCGTAGATCAACCACGGTTCCTATGTGACACCGACGTACATACCTGTCTAGTTACGTACTAACTAACTACCTAACCACACTATGTGACCAGACGGACAGCAGCCAACCTGCGGCCCCCGGAACCAAAGACCGCTGTATGCAGGTTGTGGTGGAGGGGGGGCGGGCGGACGAGGCAACTACACCACACCCCAAACGGGAGAGACAAGCTCGCAGGCTGGCTGACTGGCTGGCTGTGTGATGAGCGCTCCCTTCCCTGCTTCTCCTGCTTTTCCTTCCCTGCAGAATGCTGCAGGCTTCTCTGCAACTGCAGTGGCCCTACATATACAGTGCATACATACATACCTAGTGTACATACATACATGCCTGCTTGCTGCTGCTGCGTGCGCTATGGTCGTCTTTCCGCGGCTGGTTTGTGGACGACGGAGACTGGAGATACATTACAAGAGAATAGAGTGCTTACACAGTATGGGGGTGTGTGCTGTGTGCGCGTGCCCATGCAAGTTCCGTGGTGTCCGTTTCTGAGGGCACGGTGGCAGCGGAACCTGCAGTGTATCGCAGCTGTGGTGGGCTTAGCCCCAAAAGCTGGAGGGAGGTCATGGCCGCCACGGCGCAATATTCCGCGTTTTGACAGAATTGGGTGATACTGCCGTAATAGTGTGCGCCGTAGTAGCGTAGTGTGGCAGTAGAGGGGAAGGGGGGGTTGACGAGCCACGTTGCGCTGTTGCGCCGGGCGCAAGGGAAGCCAGTGTCACGGTGGTCTCTTCGTAGTTCCATCTATCCATTCTTTATGCTAGAGAAAACTGTGTGTCTCCGGTTGTATCCTGTATATTTTTGATGTCTGAGAACTTTGTCTCTACGTATCATCTCATCCTCCATGGGTATCTTAGTGGTGTAGTAAGCAAGCCGGTCGCCTTGTGACATGAAGGGAAGTTGATCGAAGATCAGATGTCATTCATGAAGTCTCCTCAAAAGAGTATATCCTCCTCATCGTTCAGGGCGAGCCTGACGAACTGTCTTACCCACGCTTGCTGGGCTGCATCCAGCTCATCGTCTCCCTCATTTGCTGGATGATTGTTATTTTGCCGATGTGGAAGCCTTGCGGCGGCGCCGCCTCCTCTTCGGCCTCTCTGATTTCCGGCGGCGGCAACTCCTTGGCGCTGACCTTTGCTGCGCTGCTCCCCCTCCCCCTAGACCCCGAGCGGCTTGGTTGGGGTCTTCCGCCTCGTGCCCGCTAGTTGCTGGGTTCTGTGCTGGCTCTCGCTGCTGCTCCTCCAACTGCCCCTGGTGCTGGAAGGGGCTGGGGGGTTGGGGGCACCGGAGCCCGCTGGTTGTTCGCCCCGCCGCGGCCCCGCCACGTTCCAGGGAGCGGCGGGCTGGTTGGCAGCTATGCGAAGAACCAATGGACCTTCCCGCGCAATGCCGACTTGACCGCCGTTGGCGTGTGCATCATGATGTCTCGCTGCTGCATCTCTAGCAGCGCGGACTTCTTCCTCGTCCTCCTCAGGCTCCTCGATCTCGGGGATGAGCTCTTGGGCGGGCATGATCAAAGCGGGAGGTTGGCCGACGCCCCCACCAGCACCTCCCGCAAAGCCGATACCGACATCATCACCGTCACCTTGTTCCAGCTCCCAAAGACGCATATAACACCCCGTAACACGACCGTCGGGGGCTTCGTTGAAGTGTTGATACGGGTTGCCGGGGTCGAGCCAAGACGAGCAGAGATAACAGAAGTGTGACTGGCAGCGGTTGCAAATCATGTGGTTGCAGCCATGCGTCTTCTGTGCTGGCACCCCGCACGTAGGGCAGGGCGTGGTGTGCATCCTCATGTATTCGAGCGAAGCCAGTTCATCGGCCGTGAGCTCTACCTTGTCGCGCCGCGGGACGCAGCGGAAGAATTCGCCGTGCCATGACTGGTAGCAACGACTGCAAAAGGCAAAGCTGCATTCCTCGCAAATGGCCAGCAAATCATCGGCCGGTTTGTAAGGCTTAGACTTTCCCTCTCCATCAGGATGATCGTCATCCTCGTCCTCGTCGTCCTCATCAGATATTGACTCATCCGGGGTTTCGGCCAACTCCAGACCCTGGGGTTTCTTGTGCTTTTTGGACCTCGCCGCGCCGTTGCACCACTGTCGTGGACAGTAGATTGTGTTTTTGTCGGACTCCAGCTCAATCTTATACTTGAGCGTCACGTAACGTTTGACCATCTCCTGATCCAGTGGGATCTGCAATAGCTCACTGGGGTTGATAAAGGTCTTGGGCTTCTTGCGTTTGCGACCTGAAGAAGAGGCAGCGGTTGCGCGTTCCTTTGCGCAGTTGGGCGCCAGGCATTTTACTGCCGTGATATCTCCTTCTTTGATGGCATTATTGTAGAAGTCCTGCAGACATTGGATACAGAAAACGTGGCCGCAGTCCAGCATTCGGTGGCAAACGGTGCCCTTTTTTGGTTCTAGTACTTGTTAGCAAAATCTGACGGGCTGGAAAAAAACAGACCAACAAATGTTACGAGTTCGGGGACTCAAAGAAAACCAGATTCTCTGCCAACCGGAAGAGATGTCTGACAAAGACGGCAGTACATACCTAAACACACCCCACAATCAAAAGTCTCCTTTTCAAATGCGGCCCTTCTCGCCTTTATATCGTAGTCCAAAATCGCAATCTTGTGGCTCGGGTCGACTCCGAGAGAGCCCTTGCTGTCCACGAGCCCAAAAACACCGTCCGCTGCTTGTTGCACATGGTCGATGTACGTGAAGCCAACCATATCCCGTCCCATCTCCTCCCACAAACGGGCCGCATCACTCTCCAAGCGTTTGATCGTGTCGAATGGAATCCATGGGGGGTTGGTCGAGATGCTGACTTGCGGCGGTTGTTCGGCGGGGTATTGGGGGCCCAGCGTGATCTCGAGGTGCACCGAGGGCAAATGTGCTAGCTCGTGGGAGTCGACGCCACCCTGCTGGTCGAGGCCGACGGCAGCGTCACCATTCTGTGCGCCATTTGCGTCTGGGAGTAGCCCGTCGTCGGTGGCGGCGGGGAAAAATACGGTTACGGCTTCTGATGGATTGACGGGCACGTCGAGGGCGACGGTATACGGGTCGTTTGGATTAAGTTGCTGTATCTCGGGATAGATCGCGGAGAGGGAGCTCAGCTCAACGTCGCGGGGATTATCGAGGTCGTCGGCGTCGGCCATTTCCTTGTCGAATCGTCACACTGCCCCCCGCACACTTTCCGGGGTCAAGTGAAGACAAGACAAGCAGCGGTCGATGGCAGTGAGTACCCCGTGTGCTGCTACCTAAGCCCGTAGTCCCAACGCGACAGCGCAACAGAAATGCGCAAGGTTTCCATGCGCAAAAATGTTCTACCAGTGTGGTTCGTTTTCGTTCTATGCCGAGCAAATTTTGTTGGATTCTGCGAATCGTCGGTTGTCGATAGCTGCATGAAGTCAAACTCGCCCCCCGCTTCGAAAAGAATTTGTCAGAAAGGTGTAAAATAGGAGCTAATTCTGCAAGGTCAGGTCATGGTGGCATTTCGGAGACAGGAAACTGGAGCCAGACCGAAGAGGGGCAAACCAGACCTTCACTCTTCAACTGCTGACTTGTCATTGATGTTTCCAATCTCAAGTTTGGGCGAGACCTGCAGCCGATGACTCGTCTCGGCCGCTGCGGGATGCTGGTGTTTCTCCACATGGCCCACTCAGCAGCTGATGGGTTGGAGTGGAAGGCTGCAATTATGGAGCCGAAGCGAGCGGCCTGAACCGATTGGTGGCTGCAGGTCGCTGCGACCAAGAATCCCCAAGAACTGATAGCTGTAGTTTTTGTTGCATGTGCTACCAACCTCAGCTCGTAGCCACGACAAGTTCGGCGCAAATTCACGATATCGCCCTAGGAAACCGACCGAATGGAAAACCCCTCCGAATAGAAATGCATTGATAATATCATAAAGCCTCACCTCGACCCTCCAAACCGACGCCCTCACCCACCGATCGACACCGGCGCATTCTCTCCGACTCTCATCTCAACCAGAGCCACAGCCCAACAGCCTCGCAATCATGGCCGACGACATAACACCGCTCGCCTCCCTTTCCATAACCCACGTCTACTACGTTAGTAGCCCCACCTCCTCCCTCCTTCTCCTTTCCACCCCCAGCCCCAAACTAACCACCCTTCTTCTCCCCCCCAAAACAGGACCCCACCGACCCGCTCTCCACACTCGCCGCCCTGCTCTCCCTCCTCCCCCAAGGCCTCTGCGTCGTATACGCGACGCTCCTCTGGTCGACGCGCGAGGCCGAGGTGCTCCTGCTGTTCGCGGGCCAGCTGGCCTGCGAGGCCGTCAACCTCGTCCTCAAGCGGCTCATCAAGGAGGAGCGCCCGCCCCACCGCCTCATGGGCCCCGCGGCCGGGCGCGGGTACGGCATGCCCAGCTCGCATGCCCAGTTTGTGTTTTTCTGGGCGGTGGCCGCGGGCCTGTTCCTGTGCGTGAGGCATCGCCCGAGGCCGCTGAAGGCGGTTAGTAGTAATGGTGCGGGTGTCGGTGATGTGCACCGCGCGTATAGGGTGGGTGGGCTGTCGGCGGCGGCGGCCTCGATTGAGGCGTACTCGCACTCGCATTGGACGCTGGGGCAGCGTGTTGTGGTGAGCGGCGGTGGGTTGTTCGTGGCTGGGCTGGTGGCGTGGAGCCGGGTGTACTTGGGATATCACAGCGTGCGGCAGGTGCTGGCGGGGTGCGCGGCCGGGGCCGGGTGCGCGGTGGCCTGGTTTGCGGTGACGTACCTGATGCGGGAGATGGGGCTGGTTGCGTGGGCGCTGGACATGCCGCTGGCGAGGTGGCTCCGGATGAGGGATCTGGTCGTGGTGGAGGATCTGTGCCAGGCTGGGTGGGAGAAGTGGGAGGAGAGGCGGAGAATGGTGCTGGAGAAGGACCGGGCGAGGGAGAAGGCGAAGGCGAGGAAACGGCAATGAGGTTACCGAATATAAAATAGAAATCCTATGCATATTCGACAGGTCGGCGTGTGGCTAAAGGCAAGTGCTCTCTGGGGTTCTATTCTCTTGAAAGGTAAAATCTAATTCAAACTCATTCGGTAAACTACATGTAAAGCCATTCACCATCTTACACCTCCAATCGCTAACTCGGCCCAGATTATCGCTGCGACCTATCCTCCCTATCAATATCAATATACCCGGTCCGCTTTTATAAACCCCTACCGATACACACCACCATTGTTTTCATACCGATACCCCGTGTTCGTGTTCGGATAACTTTCCAGGGGGATGCTGTCACCGTACTTGCTCGTGCCGTTGCCCAGCCCACCATATCCGCCGCCGCCACCGGTGGTGCTGCCCACCCGGGTCTGCTCGGTCGCGTAGCTATGGCGCAAGTCGTCCGGGGTGGAGTGTTCCGGCAGAACGTTGGGGTTATGAGCGGCGTCCGCCTCCGCCGTGCACTTGCGGCCGAAGCCAAAGAAGTTGAAGCGCTTGCGTCCCCCGTACCCCTCGGTATAGTCGTTGGCGGGGGACGGGCCGATCCGCATCTCCTTGCGGCGGTGGCGGACAAGGGCAAGGCTAACGAAGGGGGAGAGGGCGAAGAAGATACTGTGGTGGAAATCACACGTCAGTTTAAGGGTTGCATAGTATACAGGGGCATGGGGTACAAGCTTACACAGCGACAATGGACACGGCCAAGCATGCCGTCTCCATCTTGCACGCCTGCCTCAAGCTGGGCAGCGCCGTAAACCCACCGCTCCCGTTATCCACCACGTTGGTATCTGCGTCCCCCTTCCCAAACGCCGTGTCGACCTCTCCGCTGCAAGATGATGCCCCGCCACGGTTGACGGCGGCGATGTAGATGAAGCCGCCAATAAACGCCACGTCGAGGACCATCATGACGAAGGACGGGAACGAGCGGCCAGGGATGCAGCAGAGCATGAGTAGAGCGAGGATGGTATAGAGGACGCCGATGCCCGCTATGCCTTCAACGGCCCTCACCCACACGCCTATCGACATGTTGTGGTTATGGAGGGTGGCCAGGAAGTAGGAGAAGAGAGCTAGCACGATGGCGGCGCAGCAGAACTGTATGAAGCGGATAAAGAATTGTAGGCCCCGTAGGGCGATGCCTGTGCCCGCGCCCATAGTATGGGTTGCTGTTGTTGTATTGCTTCGAGGTCTTGGTATTCGATCTTCGAGGTTTCGGGAGGTCCGGAATGTGGCGTGAGCCTGGGGGATGTTCACGTCGTTGTTCGAGAGTGTAGGTTGTAAAAACCAATAGTCGGCATTTCACAAAAGTCGATGATCAAGTGCAAATAAGAAAAGGAAAGAGTTCCAAGTTCCGGTTGAGTTTAGGAAACAAATGGCTTCCCCACATCACAAATGAAGGAAAGCGGCCGCATGGAGATGGTGTGGGGAGGGCCTAAATCATGGGCATGGCTGCAGCGTTTGCGGCCTGTTGCATCACTGTCAAAGAACTAACGGATTGACCGTCTTGAGACCATCAAAGGCCGCGTTCGGAGGCCCACCAAGTCGCCCATTCGCATTGCGATCTGCCTTGCTGTTTTCCATCCCCCTTGGAGTCATCCTGTCACATTGCGAGATTCCCACAAGCCGAGCGGGCCATCTACAGCTATCGCAGATCTGATCGCTGAAACGCCGCCGTTTCCCGTTCGCTGCGCCTGATCCATGACGAATCTTTTCCATTGTTTCGTTGATCTGGGCGACTTGAGGTCCAGTTCAGGGTCCACGGTGACGTAAGTCCTCATTCCGTTTCTTGGCATGTGGTGGGCAGGGAATGGAAAGCCACTCTTGGGCAGTCGAAGCACAGCCACTGTGGCGCAATCTCAAGCACGAGCCCGAGCCCGAGAAAGAACTTGCCAAAGTCTAACAAGGGAATGTTTTAAGGGATTGGTCTCGGCTGAACCTAAGGTCCCTTACAGGCTTCACTTTGTTTTGAAATAAGATAGGGAAAGTTTGAATTTGAAATATCCCATTTCAAATTCTGGTTGCTCAGGTAACGTAGGGGTGTGCACTATTTTGTGCCAGTACAACTTTCATAAATCCAATAACTATGTTGATTGGAAGTTCTTAAGTTGTTGAAGTGTAGGGTTCATTGACTCGGACCACTTGGTTAGCATCCTAGGGGACTAGTAAGACCTAGGTAGTGCTCTTAGTCATAGTGCTGACTACAGCACATCAATATCTATGCGATCTCCATCGGCAATCCGTGAATAGATGTTAGAATGAATCCTAACGGGAGGTTCCTGGTTCCAAATAATATAGTGACTAGAAGCCTCGCGGACCCGGGAGAAACCGACACCTGCTTAACAGGTGCTATCTATATTGGCGATGTAGCAGAAGTTTCGAAAACTCCACAAGAAGAAAGGGGTTGGTCGTATTTTAAGAAGTCACAAGTAAATTCACCTCCAACCAGACTGCACTACTGTGAGATTGGGTCGCCGTTAAGAAGCCCGACGTTGACATTACTTGTAGGGAGCAAGGCTTGGGGGGAAGTCGACCTTGAAACACTAAGCTAAGTTATTCGGGACATAAAGTGAGAATTCAACCAAAAAAAATACCCCTCCGGGGAGTCGAACCCCGGGCAACGGAATTCGAAATGAGAATCCGCTATGTTAACCGCTACACCAGAGGGGTCTTGTTATTTATTGAAGATGGGAGCAGGAACCCCAATCATGAAGACCGGGGAGGAAGGAAAGCGGTGCTCGTTGCCCGACTGCCTGAGAAAAGTTGGGTGGGAAGGAAGGAGGTGGGGGGGCAGGGTACCTGCCGCTTCCCGAGAGCAAACAGCCAGAATGGGAAAGGGATAGGAGTACGTACTTGGCCTTGAGTATCACTCAAACAATGGAACCTCTGATTTGTCTTATTCCAGCGGGTGGTGTGAAATGCCATGTTCGACGGGCAGTAGACTCAGCAACGGTAGCATGTATACCCCTGGGCACCTTTGTATCTTTTTAAGTTCTCCTGTCTCCCATGTCTAGTGACTCTAGTCATAAAACGGGTTGCCCGAAACCAAAAGCCATCCAGCTTCTAGTGACCGTGAATGGAGACAGACGCCGCCTATCTGTATAGGTAGTAAGTCACCAGCAGTTACATTCATTCCCAGGGTGTCCCACAATAAATCCATCCTCGTATCTGAAGGTCCGACCGTTTACAGCGTCCTCTAGGACGCCACGAGTGCTAACCTACAAGCTTGTCTCGTGGAACTAAAACATGAGGAGGAGAGTTATGACCGGAAAATGGGGTCTGGTACATTGCCTCGGCATCTAGGATCTCGGTCGTCGGCGAAAACCGTTTCGTGCGACTCGCTCTCGTTCTCGAACGTGGTCGGCAACCTGGCAAGAAGCCAGGGCAGTGCGGCAGGGTAACTGTAGATCCCACCTCGTCCATCAAGTTGTTATCTTTGACACACCTAGTAGTTTTGCCTCACCTTCTACATAGAACCCGTCCGGTTGCACATACCAGCCTACACGCCAGTCGAGACATGTCTTGCAAGACCCCGTTTCGGCACGGCGCGGCACGACTCCCACGTGGGATCGGGCGGGACCTGAGAACCGGAGCGTGCCAAGCCGCCAGAACCAAGATCGGATGGATACGTTGCGGCGTGGGGGAGGGAGATCGGCGTCGATCAGAAAGGAGGATCTGAAAAACCCCTCTCCGTGCGACATCCTTCAGCTGCATCCCAAACCACAACACCATGCAAATTTCGAACACGAGCAGCGGTGGAATCTTACATTGGGGGTTGCCAGCAAATTTGACAACCTCCTGCATGCTACAATGTGGGCCCAATGGCACCCCCTTCGGATACCGGCACTGCTGAGAAGAGAGACAGAATTGATTCGCCGACCGTTGGAGTGGGACGAGAAACGCATTGATCCTGCCGACGTGGCTTGCCAAACAAAAACGACAACAGCCGACTGAGTCCACAGCGCTGCAGCCCAGAAAAGCCGCCGTTCAATAGTGTCGGGTTTGGTGACTCTCCGTCAATGCCCAGACCGCAAGCTCCACAAGGTACGACCCCAAAAAAGAATGGAATGCGGCTGGGAGCTGGAATCGATAAGCTGGTGTTTCGCCCAATCAGACGAACTGTATTTGGGTGGACGAGAGGCTTGGCTTCTATTTGGACCTGGGAACATCGAGCCGAGACCCCTGTGGAAATACGAGTGGCAGGGGGGATGTGACGGGATTGGATGCAAGGGAGGTCACATCGTCCCGCCGAGACTCTCTCACGCCGAGCTGAGCCCTAAACGGCCATGATGAAAAACACATCAACGCCCAACACGCGTGTTATTCCAAGATGCAACCAGCGGTAGCCATCTCTCCTCGACCTTGACCGTCTGGTCCCCGACTCTCGCTTTGCCCTGACTCCAGCAGGTTGCCTTGCCCTGTCGATTCGTTCCTCTAGAGTAACGTCTCTTACATTGCCCGGATCACACCACCCAGACCGCCAGGTTCAGGGTCGCACAACCGGGTTCTGTCCGCTCGTTTTGATTCCTCGAGAGCCCCTTCACGACTATACGCCCATCCGTAATCTAATGTTTTGAATCCTCGTCCAAGATGAGAACAAAAGCGCCTGTCTTTGCCAGTCTGCTGTCCCTCGCGGCCCAGACTGGCAAGGCGGATCCGACATGGCCCGCCACCACCGACCACATGGAGGAGATTATCTACCAGCTCCAGGGCGTTCAGGGCAGTCTGTTTAACGACATCATCACGCCTTGCAACAACGAAGCTGCCGGCCCCGGGCGCGTAACCGCCAGCGAATGGCTGCGCGTGGGTTTTCAGTACGTGATGTTCACTTGTAGGAAATCAGGAGGTGGATAGGACCGAAATACCGGGAGCCCCTGGGTGTGACATAGAGCCCGCGGACAAGTGAGATATTGGGGCGTTAGGCAATGGTTTAGTCGTTGATTCCATGGGAATGCTAACTGAAGAAGTGACATGGCACCACACAACAAATACTTCGGCACCGGTGGAGTTGACGGCTCGCTGCAGTTCGAGCTGAACAATGGCGAAAATACCGGACCCGGCCACCGAACAACACTGCAGTTTTACGCCAACTACTTGACATCGCAGTCCTCTCTGGCCGACCTGATCGCCGCTGGAGTGTACGCTTCTGTCCGCTCCTGCGGTGGTCCCGTCGTCCCCCTCAGACTCGGGCGGAAGGACGCGACCTCAGCCGGCAGCGCCGGCGTCCCGCAGCCCCAGAACTCCATTGTCTCTTTTAGACAACAGTTTGACCGCATGGGCTTCACCGCCACCGAGATGATCCAATTGGTCGCCTGCGGCCATACTCTCGGCTCTGTTCACAGCACTGAGTTCCCCCAGATCGTCCCCGAGTCTGTTGGACAGGTTCCTTTTGATACGACCAACGCCCAGTTTGACAACAAGGTGGCCACTGAATATGTCGCCGGGAACACGAAAAATGCACTTGTCGTTGGTGCCTCTATCGCCGTTGGCCGAAACTCGGATTTCAAGGTCTATAACTCGGACGGGAACGCTACCATCAGCACGTTGACCGACGCCACTGTCTTCCGTAACACTTGCCAGGCCATGCTTCAGAAAATGATCGAGGTTGTTCCCGAGGGCGTCACCCTTACCGAGCCCATCGCCCCCTATGCCGTCAAGCCGGTCGATATGCAATTGACCCTGAACACGGGCGGCACCAGCTTCCGTTTGACCGGTTTCATTAGAGTTAGGACCACCGAGGTTCCGGCGAGCTCCATTGAGAACGTTGTTCTTACTTGGAAGGACCGGAACGGCGGGAACAGCTGCGGATCGTCTGCCACCTGCTCCACCACGGCTACGCTACAGGGTGTGTCAACTGGCTTCGACGATACCTTTGGCGTACGTACCAGCCCCGCCCATATCCCCTGATAGTGACGCTGACAACACCAGTTCTTTCCGATCGAAGCCACGATTCCGACCGCCGCCGGCATCTCATCGTTCACCATTGTGGTGAACTATGACGACGGGTCAAGCGAGGAGTACGATAACAACGGCAATTCTTACCCCATGTCTGATGCCATTGTCCTGCAGAAGCCGCAGAGCTGCCTGCTCCAAGGGCCCGGCGATCTCACTGTTTCTGCCCTGGTATGTTTCGCCCAGGAACGATAGTTGGCCCCGGTATTAACCAAGGTATAGGTTCGCAATGACCACAAGGACCTCCCGGTGAACCTCGGTGTTTCGTATTTGACGCCTCGTAACACAGCGGACGGCAACCCGGTTCCGGCCCTGAACGAGGCCACCGTCGAGATGGTGGAGGGCGACTGTGTTGGCCAGTACACGTTCTTTTCGGCTAGTCTTAACATCCCCGGCGGTCTTAGCTTTAACTCCAGAATCAGTGTAACTGCCGGCTCGGGAGCCACCGCTTACACGGACGACTTCAACAAGGCCAGCGACCTGGGCGGTACTTGCGGTACCTTCACTGGGGGCGCCACCTGCGCTGATGTTACCACCCCACCCACCCCTTCGTCGACATCCGTTCCTGTCTCAAGCTCGACCAGCGTTCCCGTCACCACCACTAGCTCCAGCAGCTCCACCGCCGCGCCGACGCCCGCCATCAAGCCTACTGTTGGTGGTTATGTATTCGTCGACTGCTGGACCGAAGGAACTGGCGCGCGGGCCCTCGGCGGTGCCGCGTTCGCCTACGACGAGATGACGCTCGAGTCCTGCATGACCAACTGCACTGGCTTCGATTACTGGGCCACCGAGTACGGCCGAGAATGCTACTGCGGCAACAGTCTCCACTCCAGCAGCACCGAAGCACCTGTCGAGGAGTGCAACATGGTCTGCGGTGGTGACCCGACCGAGTTCTGCGGCGCCGGAAACCGCCTTGAGCTGTACTCGACGACCGCGACCCGGACCACGTCTGCCACCCCCACTCCGACGGGAAGCCTGGCTGTCAAGCCGACCGTGGGCGACTACACGTTTGTTGGATGCCAAACGGAGGCGACTGGGAGCAGGGCGCTTTCCGGCAAGGATGTGTATGCGGACGATGCCATGACTCTGGAACTGTGCGCGACGTACTGCGCTGGGTACACCTACTTTGGCACTGAGTACGGCCGCGAATGTGAGTGATACTATTGAACCGTACCCCCCCTTGAAACGTAGTGACTAACTTGTATGCTAGGCTACTGTGGAAACAGCCTCAATTCCGGGAGCGTCTCGGCCCCTGTGACGGAGTGCAACATGGTTTGCGGCGGCGACCCGTACGAATACTGCGGCGCAGGCGACCGTCTGGAACTCTACAGACTATCGAGCGTTTCCACCACGGGAAGCCCGTCCTCAGAAGGTGAGAGACGGCGTAGATTGGCTTAACAAAACCAAAAAAAAATATTACCACCCACCCGCAACGATTTCCTAACGTCAGTCTCTCTCTCTCAAGCCGCCACGACGACCACCAGCTCCGCCCCCACCACCACGCTCTCCCGCACCCCCACCGTCTCTCCCTACACCCACATCGGCTGCTGGACCGAGGGCACGGGCGCGCGCGCGCTCGGAGCCAAAACCTACGCTTCCGGCGACGGCATGACCCTCGAGAACTGCGCCGCCTTCTGCGCCGGCTACCGCTACTTCGGCACCGAGTACGCCGCCGAGTGCTACTGCGGCAACGTGCTGCACGCCTCCTCCACCAACGCCTCCCTCGCCGACTGCGCCATGCCCTGCTCCGGCAACCCGGCCCAATACTGCGGCGGGCCCGACCGCCTCGAGCTCTACGAGAACGATGCCGCCCCCACCACCACCACCACCACCAACCCCGACCCCCCCGCGCCGACACCAACCCAACCCACCACTATCTCAGCCGTCGAGGGCGAGGGCGAGGGGAACCAGTGGGAATTCCACGGGTGCGTGACCGAGGCGATGGGCGTCCGGGCCCTGGGCGCCGCGGCCCTCGCGTCGGATGAGCTGACGCTCGAGGCGTGTGCCGAGTTCTGTGCGGCGTACCAGTTCTTTGGCGCCGAGTACGGCCGCGAGTGCTACTGCGGTGACCAGTTGGCTGAGACCGCGGCTGACGCGCCCGCGACGGAGTGCTCGATGGCGTGCGCTGGGGATGTGGGGGTGTTGTGTGGGAGTGGGAATCGGTTGAGTGTGTATGCGAAGGTAGTGTAAGGGTTGGTGTTGTAAGGGTGGGGGTGAGGGTGGATGTTTCGTTGTATGTACATAGTAGGGAAGTCCACTTTCACGTTGGGGTCAAGATAATGGGTATAATGAATGCCTACTTTGGCTTCCATGAGTTATTATCGTCATGTTCAGCATCAAGCCATGCCGTAAATACTGCTCCATGTTGCTGCCCTTGCCTACACGGGCTGGGAGCAATGGCGTAGGTAGTTCTCACTCAACAACGAAGGCCACTCGTTGAATACACACGGGTTACCAACGTCCCGCCGGCATGTGATAAGGGGGACACCCATCAAAGCCCTATTGCCATCCTTTCCTTCCACAACGTCGGAAATCCAAGCCTGTGAAGGGAACCCAAGTCGAAGCTTGATTTTCAACGGCCTGTACCGTCATCGTCAAGATCGCCACTCCGTTTCTCCTGCACCCCTCCTTTCCCATCATCACATCCCCAAAGGAATCTAGAACCACTAGCCTCGGCCAAGATCTGGGCTCCCACCCCCCACCCGCGGGGTGCCCCTCTCTCGTCTCCATTCAGTCCCAATCTCCGAGGCTAAGCATCCAAACGGCACGTTCCTTGGCGGCTCTTGTAACCAGACCCCGGATTCTGGGTACTGGGACGAGACGGAGTGATTATGTTATGACGGTGTCCAAGGCACCCATCCCCTCGCCTTTTGGTGATGGGGACACCGTCTCCGATCCCTTCCTTGTGAAGCTATGTACATACCTAAGGTAGGTCCTCACAACACACCCTCGAGTGTCACCTTCCATCTCCATTTAAAAACCACCGAGAAGGAGAAGTGAACGAGTCACGGCATTCCTGCGTTTTGGGCTCTAACCAGATCCACTCTGCTGCATTGGCTCTGCGGGCAGCCCATCTCGGTGAAGCATTGAATTCTTGGCAGCCGCCCAAGTTTTGGTAAAGTCGCGAGCAGGCCGAGGTAGGGCGTGTAATTGTAAAAAATATTTCGCAAAATAATCCAGAAAAGAAAAAACCTGATTTGTGTATGCACCCCAAGAGGAGCCGGCCGTTCACAAGAGAAGTGTCACGAAGAAGTGGACGGAAGAACCCAATCTGCTAATTGGGGAAATAGCGTCGTTGTCGTCTGAAGACCGAACTCCTTGTTTAGATCCGTCGATGTCCGCGTGATGGTCAAGGGACTTCACCGCAGACGGAACCTTCCTTCACCTCACACTCTCCGTTTGGTGCAAATGTGTACCTGGCGACGTCAGGCATATAGGCGATACATACCATAGATCCTTAAGCCATGAATTGCCGTCCCCTGTCTGCCACGAGGGACTCGGGAGCAACAGGCACGAACAATTGACATACAAATTACACAACATAACGCATCGACACCGTTCAGGATCCAGGAATCAGGCCACAAACTCCTGCCTCCGAGTTACACCGTATACTCACAAGTGCATGAATCCCATCTCTCGACTAACCGAACCAAAGACATCGGTCACATCCGCCCTAACTCCGGCCCAGCCAATCCCAAACCCGACCGACAGCCAGGAGGTGCGAGCAACTCCCGCTCCCGACGGCCGGGAAAGGACGGAGCTTGCACCCTTTTTCCCTTGCTGGCTGGCTGGCGCGTCCCCGCTGCCGCTGCCGCTTGGGCTGGGGGGGAAAACCCGGGGCCGGCTCTCCTTTCTGGGGTTGATGAGGGAGGGAGGGGCCGGCGGGGTGGCGGTGGGCAAACGCGGAGAATGGAGGGGTTAGCAGAGTGGAGTGGCATGAGCCTGGCGTCGTGTTGATGGCGGGGAAGGTTTTGACTAGTGTATTAGTCGTGGCTAGTAAGAAGGGAAGTGGATGAGGATATTTCCTGCGCCCCTTTGTTTGTTGGTGTGAGATCAGCGGCGTTTTCCGATCGTTGTTTGTCGAGGTGGATGGTTTGCAGCCTGCCTGCATTTATTTACTTCTGTAGTTGCAGTCTCGCATACGTGGAAAATGCTGTACGAATACAGATTCTGGACCTCGGCTGTGACGGCGGTTGGAGGGTGTCCTTCCTTCCCTCCTTCCCGTATGCCCGTCTCGTTCCCGCATCCCGATATATACGTGCTTTAAAACACGGCAAGATAATGCACAACGACCATTTTGCAATCGTCGAGGATGGCCACGAAGGTGCCTACATATGCGGGTCTATCACAGCCCAGGCCAGGGACAGACGTACCAGGCCGGCACAGGAAGGAGTCAGTGAGTGGGGATGTGGAGTGTTGAGGCTTTCACGAACTGCCCCACCTCAGACCGAGGTGGCCCTGAACTGACTCGAGATCGGAACCGGATCGGTTTGAACTTTTTAACAAAGCTGTAGTTTCAGGAGAGATGCAAACGTTAACAGTGACGTATCCTGGCGAAGCATTAGACGATGGCTCTTGCCCCTTTCCGTGGCAGGCTGAAAGCTTCGATCGATGATGTTGTTACTCTGCCACTCTCGAGCCACTTTTTCTAGACCCGACGTTTGTTATCCTTGTCAATGCCGCTCGGGGGAAAGAAATGCGACGGAGAAAAGTGCAGCCAAGTGGCCAGGGTTCGGGATAACCCCGAAGAAATAGCCCGTTGCATCGATTTAGGACCTCCCCTCCAGTTCCGAATTTCGCCGACCTGTGTCCGGTTTTGGTAATTTCAACGAAGGTGTTACTCTTGCCCTGCAGTAGCTTTCTCGATCTCATTCGAGGTATTGGTGGTGAAGCTCGTCGTCCAACACTCAGCGAGGTGAACTTGGAAGTGAAAGGCAGGATCAAACCCTGGCTCGAGAAAAGAGACTGCAGGAGCGAATCGACTTCGGTTCGGACCAACGGCCGGGATGTGATTCGCCATCTCGCCTTTTCGCCTCAACGACGAAAGCAGGCGTCTCGCCGACCACATCTGCCGGGATTTCGCTTCCGGAATCCCTACCTACAAGCCCAAAGATATGTTGGCTCTTCGCGCGCCTTTTTTTGTTTGACACGGCTACGGTCAATTGACCCCCCGTTGCTGGACATTTCGTCACTGTATCTCGCCTACCCCTTGAAGTGTACATTTTTCATGACTGACATGTGCTCGCGTGTCGCCAAACAGCATGCCGACACGGCGACACGGAATTCCTATCGACCATCCTGCTCCGTCCCGCCGATCCCATCAGGAGCAGTTTGACCAGGGGTGTTTTCAAGGTGAGAAGGCGGCGGCGAGAGCAGCGTCAGTTCCTGACCGATCATCGCCTCCGTCGTCAACCCCTGACGCTGGACTGGGACTGGCAAACTGGGTCCGGGTTGCGACGGCGGGAGTTCACACGTGTGGTCGCGGGCTCGGCGATGAAAGTGAACCGCGCTGATTGGCTTCCCCACATGCCGCTTGGCGGAATGAGGCATGGAGCGCTTCTCACGAATCTGTGGAGGGAGAACTTGGTTTTGTGCGGGTGTGCGGTGGGTCTCGTGCGAGAACCGGGGTCGGGTGAAGGGCTCGATTCGGGCAGCTCCAGGCCCAGCTGACAGCATGCATTCTTTTGCGATGAGCAAGGGGGAAGAATGTTGTCTCTGGCTGGTGCCTCGCTGACGAACAATCCTCGTGATCCATGTGAGACTCTTGGCGAGGCTTGGGTCGGTGTCTGTATGTAATCAGTACAGGGGCACCACCATCTTGTGCGTTTTAAAACCCTCGCCGCCGTCAACATTGATGAACCCCTTTCCCCATGGAGAGGGCTCAGGAAGGACACAAATGTCAGGCCAGAGATCAGCAATGTTTCATGCGTGCTGCGTTTCTCGCTGTCTAGCCCTTGGCCCGGCTCGCCACAGGGGAATGCACTCGTTTCTTCTCGACGAGGGCGTTGCTGTTTTGACTGTGGCTCATCCGCCAAGGGCCCACGCTTCCTAAACAGGACATCCATGTCCCCAGGCTTGGCCCCTTGACGTTTCCCCCAAAGGGTTCCATCGTAACACTGCGGGTACGGTACGTATCGCGTTCGCGAACAGCAATGACTGTCTGGGGAATTCGCCATGGCTTGATATAACGGCCAGGCCCCTCCCTCCCCACCGAGGACTCGTGCCAATTGCCTCCTCCTAAATACATAGCATGCCCTTGTGACGTGTTGGGACCTCTCTTGAATTCTCTTTTTTAGATTTTGACATCAAGAAACTTCCTCGACACCACCCCAGCACCAGACAATCACGGATACTCGCGGGATACGCTTAGGAGCCGTTTACACCCCGCTGCCCAAACAAGTCATCAGCCGACCAAGACGAATCCCACGAGCTGGACTGGGTCACGACAATCTGGATCCTACAAGACCATTGTCTCTAGGCTTCGGCCGCCGTCTGAATACCAATTCATGTTCCTCGAATTACACACCACTTCACTATGTCTGAGCACGGAGATACACCTTCACCGCGGTCCTCGTCGGGCCCGGCCAGTTCCATGTCACCCCCTCCGGCACCTGCCTCAGTCACCGAGACGGCATCGTCACCGAAGAAGCGGGCATCAGTAACGGCCGCCGAGGGCAAAATCACGAAACGGCGAGCCGCCAGGGCTTGCGTGTCATGCCGAGCCCGCAAGGTGCGCTGCGATGTGGTAGAGGGTGCACCTTGTGGTAACTGCCGTTGGGACGACGTGGAGTGCGTCGTACAAGAAAGCCGCAGGCGAAAGTAAGTTTCGGCCTTTTTTTTCTCTGCCGGGAATAAGGGAAGCAAGCAATTGAGGATGGGTTGAACTCGAAGCGATCCCGTCGTCAGTGTGAGATGGGACGACTGTTCTCTCCTCTGAGTCTTGTCCTTTCAAATTGCGTCATTTTCAAATGCGTGTACACGCAAACGGCAGCGGAAATCGACTGGCTAACCTTCGGCACCCCTGCCGCGCTGTTTCCAGAAAGAACCTCCCTTACAATTGCGCACCGGCTTCGGTGGGGGCACGCGCTGGAACTGCCGAGGCATTGCGCTCAAAGAGCATCGGCGCCGCTCCCCCAATCATCACGGCCAATCTCGCGAAACAAGCATTCCCATCAAATGGATCATTCTCTCTCCCCATGAATGGGGTTAACGGTGGACAGGCGGCCACTAATCTGTTGTGTAAGTCTTGGATTAGTTTTGCATGTTTTTTCTCCTTTTTCCCCAACTCCAAATCCCCAATGTCACCCTGTTTCTCCGCGTGACCCACCCAATCCCAAGAATCACATGTCAGAACAAAGGCAGCGTCATGGGGGGGGGGGGGGGAAGGAGAAAGGAAGAAGCCGTTGGCTTGTGACAGAGAGCTAACTTTGACATCTGACAGACCAACAATCCCCTGGTGGATTCAGTACCCCGGTCTCTGCGGCGGCCCTGACCGGGTTCCCTCCGATGACCCCCGGGATACCGCCGTCCCCGGCCCTGGTGCACCCGCTGCTCCGATCTCTCGAGCAGGTCAACGAGTGGCCCGCTTTCATCAGGCCCATCCCGGACCGCATCCTGCTCGAGGACAGGCAGTATCTCGCCCGGAAGCAGGTCTTCACCCTGCCGCCCCTGCGTCTGCAGAATGCCTTGCTCACCGCCTACGTTGAGTATGTTCACCCTTACATGCCGCTTATGGAGCTGCATGACTTCCTCAGGGTGGTCAGCGATAGGTCCGGGGCGTCCGGCAAGATCAGCCTATTCTTGTACCATGCCGTCATGTTTTCGGCCACGGCCTTTGTCGATGAGAGTCTCTTGAGGGATGCCGGTTATGACAGCCGGAGGGAAGCAAGGAGGGCCTTTTTCTCCAGAACAAGGGTGAGTTTTTCTCTCGACGATGGAAATAGCCGGGAGTGTATATGTGTGTGCGTGTGTATTCTAACAAGAAGGTTAGCTCCTCTACGACTTCGACTACGAGACGGACCGCCTCGTCCTCGTCCAGGGCCTGCTCTTGATGACGTATTGGTATGAGACACCCGACGACCAGAAAGACACCTGGCACTGGATGGGCGTCGCCATCTCACTCGCCCACACGATCGGTCTTCACCGCGACCCGGCCAAAACGCCCATGATCCCGCAGAAGCAGAAGCTATGGAAGCGCGTGTGGTGGTCCTGCCTCATGCGAGACCGCCTCGTCGCCCTCGGCATGCGGCGTCCGACCCGGATAAAGAGCGAGGATTTCGACGTGCCTACGCTGAACGAGGACGACTTCGAAATCGAGGCGCTTCCGGAGGAAAACCAGCTTCTGGGACCAGAATGCGTATTAATACGCGACGTCGAGATGCAGCGCGAGCTCGCCATCATGTGCATCGAGAAAGCTAAACTATGCATGCTCATTGGCGACATGCTCAAGGTTCAATACTCGGTCCTTAGCCGGAGTGGCATGCGGCCCGAGCACACCACCAACAGCACGCACATGCTGCTGCCGAACAAGGGGGCCGAGAATATGGAAGACGTCGAGAACGTCGACCACCACCTGCAGAGCTGGTTCGCGAGCCTGCCCGAAGCCTGCCAGCACCGCACACTCGACGCCGCCAGCACCACCAGCGGCAACCAGGTGCTCGCCGTGCAGCGCAACCTCCTCCACATGATCTACCACACAACTATCTCGGCGCTGCACCGGCCCCTGTTCCTCCCAGCATCGCCCACCGAAGGCCCCAGCACACCCGTCGAGGTGCAAGAGACGGCACGGCAGCGCGTGCGCGAGGCGGCCGAGCACATCACCCGCATGGCCGCCGACCTGCGAGAACACGGACTAGAGCGCTTCCTCCCCACCACAGGCGTAACAGTCATCCTGCCAGCCATGATCGTGCACATGCTCGACACCAAGAGCCCCGACGCCGAGACGCGCGCGGGTGCTATCCTGGGACTCAAGGAGTGCCTCGTCGTCATGAGCAATCTGCGCAACATCTACGCGGCGGCCGACTTCGCCACGGGCTTCCTCGACGCTCTGCTGCGCAAGGGCATGCTCGGCCAGCAACCCCAACCCGCCCAACCCACAACAACGCCCCTCGGCGCCCGCCCCGGCGGCAAGATGCTCAACCGCGTGCTGGCGCCAGCACTCAACCTCGCGCCGCAGGGCGGCCTGTCCGCACGCCCCACCACCCCGCCGCCCGAGAATGTCTTCCTCAACCTGCGCACCGTTAACAACAACACCAGCCTCCGAAACAGACACAATAGCCTCTTCTCCTCCACCGGCTCCCTCCAACAGCAGCAGCAGCAGCACCACATGTCTACTGCCGCGGCGCAGCCCTTCCTGCCCGACGGCGACGACACCCCCGACCTGAGCGCCCTCAGCGCGGCGGTGGGCGCGACGACCCCGCCGCATACTGATAGCGAGGATGTCGATATGGAGATGGCCATGGTCGATGGCATCATGGGCAGTCTGGGCAGTGCCGGGCTAGAGTACACCGGCGCTGCGGCGGCGGCGGCGGCTGCTGCTGCTGCGGTTGGGGATGGGGCTGGTGCCGCTGGTGGTCTTGGTGGTGGTGGCGGTGGTGGTGGTGTTCCTACGGGGAATAACTTTGACTTTGACCAATGGCTGCAGTTCCCCGCTGAGGGTGGGCTGACGACGTCGGATGACTCGTTTATGGGCGGCATGTTTGCGGGTGCGGCGGAGCATCATCTTCATTCTCATCATCAGGGGGGGTTGGAGATGGGGGGGGAGGGCGCGATTGATTGGATGAGTTTGGGGGAGGGGATTAGCCATTAGGGTGGTGGTGGTGGTGGTACATACCTTACGTTACGTTACGTTGTGTTGTGTTGTGTTGTTGTGTGTTTGGGTTTGGGGTTATGATGTCCCCGTCCCCGTCCCTGTCACGGGGAGGTATTCTTTCCTACTTCCTCGCTTCTGGATTGGCGGCTTGGATTGGCTGGCCAGCCAGCTTGATGATATGGATGAGTCGGATGGGTTTGGTTTGGTTTTAAGGCGGAATGGCGTCGCCAGGCTTTACTTTTCTTTACCTTCTTGCCATCCTATGGTGGATGGATATGGGTTGGATCGGATCGGGTTGGGTAGGACCGGAAAACAAAAGCTCGAATGGGTCACTGTTATTCATTGGTACATAGAGTAGATAATGGCTGGGAATGGTACTTCCTGAATTGTTATTTCATGGTTACCTATCTGGTACTTCGTAACATGTGTTGTGTGGTGGAGGTTGATGACCGATTGAACTGACTGGATGTGGACTAGTGGTATCTACGACGCTAACAACTACCACCATAACTACTGTGTAGAACACCAACTTGACTCTACACAGCTAGCTGGTATTTACAGTTCCTTGTCAACGGTCTCATGGGTTTACAGATTGACCCCAGTCTGCCTTCCTCTTCCTCTTTGTTCTCCCCCCGGATGTCTCGTTTCTGCCCATCATCTTTGGCCGGGTCCCCGGTTGCTCCCCAGTTTCCAACCGCCCCGATCGGTTGCCTGGCCAGCGCGTTCGAGGTCCGAGGATGCCGGCGAAACGAAAAAAGCAGTTCGGTTATCGTGGAGTTGCTTTCGTCATTTGCCCTCGTGTGGAGCATCGCAATCTGAATGTCAAACTTGGGCCAATATGGTCCGTGTTGCCCCTGTCGCTCCTTCGTAAACGGCCATGACGCGCCTTAGCGCGACTGCTGTCGACGTGTGTGCTATCTCCCAGCCACCAGAATTACGCGGTCTAGCTGTTAGGGGAGCCTTGCTGCATCGCCTCTTTGGGATAGCTGTCTGGTCGCCAAGACGCCAAAACAGCTTAGCTCCACGCCTCGACCTTTCCCCGAAATCTAATCTCCCGGTGGCCGATCCGGCCGCACGCCAGATGCTCATCCGTGTTCGCGTCGACGGGTCCCAATTTAATGAGGTCTGGTTCCTCGTTTGGGCCATTCCTCGAAATCACACAACTTGCATCTCTCTTTTACCACAAGTTGTTGATTCTTTCCTAGCCGTGTTTTTTTACGGCGCGGCCCTCGTTTGTTTCAACTCCACATCAGATCAAATTCAATTGATTACGGATACCCTGCCGCCAACTGCAGAGGTTTCATAATTCCAGTCGCTCTCTCTCCGCACTGCATTGACATTAAACATTGTACAAGCGGCGCGCACTTACACGTCGCATTACTCCAACACTCGCTTCCAACGTTTCACGGTGCCCAACCTTCCGGCACCCGCGCGCATACTCGCCTCATTCTTTCTTTATCCGATCAGCTGCACCTACCCGCCAGCTCAGACAAAGCGCCTTACTTATCGTGTCTTGTGTGTCAACTCCTCAGCGAATCAATCCGCTGCGGGCTAAGCACGGAGCAAGCGGGGAGCAGCAGCGAACGCTTCAGAGGCCGCCGCGCAGCGAATCACAAGCAGGCTCCCAGCCTCGCCCAACACCGTCGTCCTTCTTTTACCGACTATGGGAACCCCCGAGAGGCTTCTTTGTACTGTTTCGCCAGGCTCATAGGAAAGAAAAAGGGCCATTATGCTGGGCGCCGCCCGTTCCCTCAACCACTGACTACCACCAACACCACACCAGCTTACAACAACCATCACCATGAACGAATCCCCCCCGCCCCGGACTCCCGCGCACCTTGCGCCCGCCCGGGGCCGCCAACTCCACTCCGCTATGTCCGACTCGTCGCCCGCCCGCCAACGGAGCACGGACGACCTCCTCGCGAACCTGAACCCGCGGACCGTCGTCAATGCCTTCCGGAACCCCTCGGGGGGGCTGAAGGCTTGCCTGGCGGCAGCAACCCCGGCCGAGCAGGCCTTTGCGCTGAGGGTTGCGATTGCATCGGATAATATCTACGCATGGCTCGGCGAGCTCTCCGCCTGGCCTTGGCCGGCTGGTGGGGGCTCTGCGGGCTTTGAGATGCCTAGGAGTAGAAGATCAAAACTCTGGGACACCCTGCTCCCCACACAACACGAATCCCTGGGTACACCAGACCAGGGATACAATGGAAGCATTCCGACGGCCGACGTTGCGAGATACGAGCGGCGCATCGATGAGATCGCCCAGGGGCTGGAGGAGCTCGAGATAGAAGAGATCAAGAGCCAGGTTTTGAACAACCACATCATGCCCTTGTCCAGGCCGGGGACCCCCGTAATGGGTTCTGGGCGCTCTACCATGTCGCTGTCGAGCTTTGCGATGTTGGATGACTTGACTGCCATCGTCACAGCCACCACCGTTCAAGCGCTGCCGAACCTTTCTAAACTCACCAGGCTCATGAGTGCTTGGAATTTTCGCCTTCTGGTGCTGCGTAAGATCCCGGTCTTCTTGACGTCAATTGCCGACGCCGAGGCCGCTCTCCAGTCGGGTTGGAATGCGATCAACACTGCCAATCGCCAGAACGGGGCCACATCCGCAGCCTTGTCTCGGGAAGCCTTTGACGTGATGAAGTCTGTCCTGGGGCGCAAGGTGGCCAAGGCGGGCCGCGACTTGGATGCCATGCTGGATATCCTTGAAGGCCAGCCCGACACCCTACCGGAAGACTGGATCGACCGGATGGACACTTTGGAGCATGCATATGGCGAATGGACTGTGGCCTGCGACAGGAAAGTCCAGGAGAACGACTTGGCGGGGATGGTCCAGCAGGTCGTCCCGCCCAGGGCAGCGCCCGAGCAGCCATTGCGCGAGGGCACGGATGGAAGTGCCCCCAGCGTGTCGCCCGTCTCCAACGGATCCCCGGCATTGGCACCTTCAGGGGAAGCACAGCCGCTGGCGAATGCGTCTTCCCCGGATAGCGACAGTGCACGGGATCTTAGTCCCCCGCCGGAGGTCCGGCCTCCCGTTATCAAGATCTACCCAACCATTGAAGAAGAGGAGACGCCCGCAACGGAGGGCGTCTACCCGGATACCGATAACGACTTCGATCAAAGCGCATCCGACGGATCGGCCAGCGCTGAACCTTTTGTAAGAGCCATCTCGGAGCCGCTGTCGACTGGCCCTAGCAACCGGAGGATACTCGGGGATGCGGTGGGCTTTTCCTCGACTTCTGACTCTGAGCTGTCGGACATTTCGGAGAATGAGGTGTTTCAGGCGGAGGATCATGACAGACGTGCTAGCACCGCCTCGGAGTCCTCGACGGTCCTGCACGAAGCTCCCAGCACGTTCGTGGACTCGTTCTCTAGTGATCTTGTCGACCAGGGAACTCCTGAACGCCCTCGCTTAAGGCACATGGACAGCACAGACCTCTCGGGTCTCGAATCCTTCCGGTCGAGCACAAGGTCCATGTCAGTGACCTTCAACGACAAGCCCACCATCACGGAACTACCGAGCTTTGTCAGCCCTCCTGGTACCCCGACGAGATCCATGTTGGAGGATGAGGATGATGTGACGCAGCCCAACACTCCGGCCGAAAAGGTCATCCCCGGCATGGACGACCAGCTCCAGCGCCAGATCGGCCAGATTCTGGAGTCGGTGCCAGCTAAGATCCGACTGACTGCGGAGCCCCCAGCCGTCAACCTCAACCCGCCCGACTTCAAAATGCCAATCCCGCGCAAGAGCTCCAGGGGAGACGCCATCCCTCGGACCCAATCCAACATGTCGATGCGCTCTGCCTACTCCCGCTCCGCCACGCCCTCGTTCACCCTAGCGCCCGCCCGCAGCTCTCGCCCGCGCCACCGCGGCAACCAGGAGATCAAGCTCTACCACCTCTCCCGCTCCAACGGCGAGGCCCCGATCAAGCTCTTCATCCGCTGCGTGGGCGAGCACGGCGAGCGCGTCATGGTGCGCGTGGGCGGCGGCTGGGCTGACCTAGGCGAGTACCTTAAAGAATACGCCACGCACCACTCTCTGGCGCTCCGTCGCCGCCGGCGCAGACGGCAAGATCGAGGTCAAGGACATCCCGCGGACTGGGTGCGGTACGCCCCGTCGCCGCCTCCGACGCCACCCCTCCCAGCCGCCCCTCCTCAGCCATGGACTCCCACTCCCCCATCTCCCCCCTAAAACTGCGCAAGACGCGCCGCCCCACCGCCAGCGCCAGCCCCTCCAACAACAACGAACCGCACCACCATTCCCCCGCCTCGCGCCCCAAGACCCCGCTCGCCAGCGTCAGCCGCCTCGAAGCCACCCCGCCGTCGGGGGGCTCGTCGCTGCGCTCGCGCTCCAGCTCGCGGGTCAGCTGGGACGAGGACGAGGGCGCCGTGGCCCTGGGCATGGCCGGCCCGCGCGCCAAGCAGATCGAGATGAGCGAGGAGAGCAAGGCGTGGGTCGAGAGCATCAAGGAGAAGGTGCGCATCGCTAGTGGCGAGCGGAAACCCTCCGGGTCGGCGGCGCTGCCGAGTATTGCGGGGACGGTGGCGGGGGGGAGGGAAAGCGTGGGTGGTAGGAGGGGGAGTGTGGGTGTGGGTATGGGTGTGGTGGGTAGTGGTGGTGGTGGTGGTGGTGGTGATGAGGGGGGGTTGGAGGCGAGTTTGATGGATCGTGGGGGGGAGGCGAGGAGGGGCATGTTTGGGGAGATTGGGAAGGTGGGGAGTACGAAGAGGCTTTTTAGGCGCGGGTGAATGTGGGAGCAAGAGGGAGGATAAAGAGGAGGGGGTATGTTGTGGCGTGGTAGCATGTTTTGGGCAGGGTGTTTGTTTGCTCGGTTTTTTTTGTTGGGATGGCCGCGATCTTTAGTTGGGGGGTGTGTTATTATTGGCCATGGGCGCTACCTGCTCACTTTACGGCGCATGGATTTGGGGGTTCGGGAAAACGGACATTTGGTGGTGCGGCGTGCCTGGCTGGGTATAGGTATGGCATTGTACGGTACGGTGGTCCCTGTGTGGTCCCTTTGTGAAAAGGGGGATTTGGCGCCGGAGAGAGTATGGTGCATGGTATGGGTGGATGGATGGATGATACCCCTTGGGAATGGGGCCTGGTGTTGGTGAGGAGGGGAGGGAAAAAAACTAGGGGCTGGGTTTGTCGGCTCGTTTTTGTGTTTCCCTCTCTCTCTCTCTCTCTCTCTTGTTTGGCATCATCATCGGGTTTCCCGGTTTAGACAGTGCATTGCATATTTGGTATACCCCCTTTTTGATTGTTTACTTCTTGTGGTGGGGTCGCTTAGAGCCCGGGTTTAGACAGGCTGTTACCTAGACAAGAGTGGGGGAGTCTTTTATGTATTGTAGCTCACTAGGAGAATGAGGGTGTCCCAACTTGGGGCCTTCCCATCAAAAATACTTCATACTAGCTTCAATGTGCCTCCCACGAATGGATTGTGATCGTGACCTCGTTGAGCTCGTTGGGTTCTCACACACGCGGTTAGCGGGGTGCCGAGGAGCATGCCGTCCTGTCCTCTCTCATTCATAACACGAGGCTATGTTTGGAAGCAGAATTGGGCGGTGCCCTCTCTACTCCCACTAAATCATGTCTACTCCTGAGAAAGATGCGGGTTCAAGTATCATGCTCGCCACGGCACGACTCCCCTCCTCCGTTGCCGCTCTCCACTGACCCGACCATTTTTCCCTAAGGGATACTACCGGCCATACGTTCCTCATCAGCACCAATACTTCACCAGAGAAAGGGAGTAATGAAACATAATATAGCTTGTCGGGTAACTTGAACCTTCTCCGCTAGTCAAGGGAGTCGGGTCCATTTCAGCCCGAGTTACTAACCCAGTGGTGTGGTGTTTGGGTCTCGCGTCTGCCACGCGAGGATCAAAGCAGCTTGAAAAGGCGCGAGTTGTTTTTAATGGAGAATAAGCGCGTTAATCAAAATAAACGGCTTAGGGGCGTGCCTTATGAAAGGAAGCCGAGTGTTGATGGTTCCCTAACTTCCATCTATTGAGTCGAATTTTCCAACTCTAGGTAGTTTTTCCGGACCACAATCCCACGATTCAATACACGAGATAAGTATCGTCTTCAACTGTTCAATTCAGTGTGATAATTGCTTCTCTTAGTCGATCTAAGAAGACAAAGAAAGTATATAGATAGCAGAAACCGAGAGGGATGCTTAGCGTTACGACCAGCCAGGTAACAACAATGTTCTCAACATCAGAATATCACTCTTCGAAACTAGCAAAAGCTCACCGGCTAGCTCCCTTTGCGGTCGAAGAGAGGTAGCCAGTTACGAAACCCCCTCGGGGGGGGGGTTACTTCGTGGTGCAGCTCCGTGATGCCCCGTCGGGCCGATGGGAGCTGCTCGTTTCTACATTTGGAGGACTCCGCCAGCGTCCTGGCGCCCCCTAAGAAAATCCGTGCTGGCATCATGATTTGAACCTATAGCCTCCCTTACGTCCGGGTACCTTTCAAGGTGAACTAAACAGCACGGTCGAGGGGTCACCGCCAGTAACCTTTAGGCTACCCGGTCCGTGGCCCCGTTGGAATTCAACTGCGAGTTCCTGCCTTATATTGTGCGGAAGGGCCGTCTGATCTGCTTGGGCACGGGCGCTCTCTTTACTGGGCCAGCTCACACGCGAAAGGTCGGCTCATATGCGACCCGTTCCCCCCCAACAGTTTGTAGTGTTTATTCCTCGATGTATCTGATCATGATCGATCTTGAACAGTGGTGTTTCAACCACTTTCTCAACCCAATGCTCATCATGCTCAACCAGCCTCCCAAATCAAAATGCCAACCAACCAATGCCACAAACCACCGCTTCCGGTCCGGTGAGCGAACCTTTCTCACTTGCCTTTGTATCCACACCGCCCGCGTCAGACACCGACCTCGATCCCCGAGTCGGAGTTCAAATGCTGATTCCTAGTGTCCTCGGGCAAATATTCTCTTTGGCATGATGGCGTGAAAGATACCGCCTCAGCAGCCAAATCAATGACAGTTGCCGAATGGGGTGTCATTTGCTAACCTTAGACGGACTGCCACTAAAGTCGGCGGCGGTTCAAACCCAGCTCTCAGTTCCCCGTGCTAAGATCCGAAGCAACCGATAATGTTCCTTGGTTTCGCTGCTGGGGCATGCAACGACTTTCTCGCTCCATCCCCCAACTCGCGCAACACATACACTAGGTACCAGACGTCGTTGGTGGTGGAGGAGACTGGAGGCCTTGGCGTAACCAGACAGCATGCGCTAGTTGGAGTCGGGGGTCCCTAGGGGGCCAGCTTTTGGGGATACACAAAGAGCACAATACAAACACAGGTACCCCATTGTTATCAGTTGGTTCACGGATGTGTTAAGAGGTCTGGACATAATGGGAGCAGGTGTAAGCGACCTGGCGCTACAACGAACGGGCACCCGGTTGTGGAGTTCTCGACGAAAGTGTTGCGAAGGGTGATGATGCTAGGTTGGGAAATACCCAGCAAGGCTGTGGAAAACAGTATTGAAAAGTAAATACAGAGTTATATCCGCAGTATGTACATGCATCAGGCATCTGCAACCACCCAACACCATCCCCTCATCCAACCGGGGCTATATACCCAACTACGACTGCCCCTCCGCGTGCAGGTTCTCAGCGACCTGGATATCCAAGTCCACATACATATTCAGCTTCGCCGCGAGCTCCTCGTCAGTGACCTCGGCCCTCCTGAACGGCGTGCCCTCGCCAGACTTGCACCCCTCCAGCTGCTGGAAGTAATACCCATGCGACTCCATGTTCAGCCCCTTCGTGCCACCATTACACTTGATGTTCGAGTACCCCGCGCAGTAATCCACCTCATCCAGCGACACCACATCATCCGTGCCGGGATCGATCCAATACTCGGGACTGACGTGGCGGTAGTTCAACAAGATGGGCGGCAGGCGCGGGACGGGGTCGTCGGTGTGGGTGATGCGGTACTCGGCGCCGGCCTGCTTGGTGACGTACTCGACAAAGGGCAGGTTGCCGACGCGCGGCGAGCCGTACGTGTACAGGTCGGCCGCGATGCCCGCCTTGCGGATGTAGGCCGTGGCCAGCGTGGCCACCGCGCCCCCGAGCGAGTGGCCCGTCACCACCACCTTGTAAGACGGGTTGGCCGCCACGGCGGCCCGGACACCGGCGAGTACTCGTGAGGAAACCTCGCCCCATGAGGCGTAGAAGCCCGTATGCGCGAGGCAGCCGAAGCCGAGGTCGCACGGGACTTGGACGAAGATGAAGCTGGAGGCGGGGGGTCAGTGGGGAAGTAGGTATGGGAGGGATTAAGCTTATTGTTTGGTCTTACTCGGCGATCCAGTTACGGACGGAGGTCGAACCCCTGAAGGAGACGACGATCTGCTTGTCGACAGGGTCCACACCGATGAACCCCCTCGTGTCTAATATAGTCCCGCTGATGGTGTGTTAGACAACTAATTGCACAAGGGACCCCCAAGGGCTTGGAAACATACATGAACGAGGCGGCGACCGTCGCGTTGTGAGACGCGAAGATGGAGCACTGGTCCTCGAAGCAGGTGACCGGCTCGTTGGCGGCCTTGTCACTGTTGCAAGAGGCCGCTGAGGACCACTGGGCGTAGAGTTTGAAGTCCTTCAGCTGCTGGGGAGTGACGCCATCTTGATACTGTCAGACAGAGGTCCGTCTTGAGCTGGCGTTCGGCTTCAGGCTTACCTTGTCTTCTCAAGCTTGGCGCTCCGAGAGCGAGAGGCGCCAGCGAGAGGCAAGTGAGGAGAAGGCCCTTCATGGTGGCTTGCTAGGGTGGGGGGTTCGGCGGGGAGAGGTTTGACCAAGAAGGGTATATAGCTCGATGTGGCTCCTACGCCCTGAGAGACGAGACAAGAGGGTCTCAGATGGTTGACAACTCCGCCACAGGACTCAGGAACAGACTGTGAGACGGTATGACGGAGCGCCAACCTTTATAATGGGCATCGTCTGCGCCGCGGGAGGGGCAAACGGAGCTAGGGAGGCCGGTATGCAGGGCGCCATGGCAACCCCCGCATATGTGGACAAGACGGTTCCCATCTCTCTTGGAGCGATCACCATCAGGAAAGGGCTTCCGTGCCCCCCGTAGCGGCCATGGCCAGGGGGGTGGGGGCTGGGCTGGCTCCAATAAGACAATGACAGAGGCGCCATCACAGGTTGACTAATGACCCGAGTACGGCACATCTGAGGAACGGGTGGATGTGGAGGACATCGCCGACTTCGCGATGGTGGTGTGGACTCTCGGTGTGGGGAGGGCCTCCTGCAGACTCAGATCTCACAGCCTGTACCCGGTTTGACAGGATCTGTCCGAGCTGACAGCCTTCCAGAAGACGAGCAGGGCGATGAGGCCGTCAGCGGCACGGGATGACCCGGTTCGATGCGGCACGGACAGAGAGAGATCTCAGCAAGGATTATGCAAGTGAGAGTGACCATTCATTCAGCTCATCGAGTGAGCGTGCGTCCTGTGCATTTCGTATTCTTACGTTAGAGAAGTTGTTGCACAAGAAAAGGAGGATGCGCCAAGGTCAGAAATTGGCTGTGGCTGGCTTGGTTGACGAAGTTGGGAATCAAACAAGGCCATCTCCATTTCCCATTTCCCATTTCCCCTTTCCCACTTCCCGCGCTCCCCAGTGCTGCTCAGCTCCTTGGTTCTTTTTCTTCTTCCACTTGCTTGCTTTTGCTTGTAACTACTGTGTAGTTAATCGCTCTGCAATGTGATGTGCGCTGCAATATATCATGTGCCGTGATGGATCACCCAAGCCACGCGACAGGTCACGATCAAGGATGGAATGCCGGAATTTGCACTGACTGCCGCGTCGGGTTACATGGTGAGCGCTGGATCTGCGGTAGGGCACTCGTGCCTCGTGGGGCACAAGCAACCGACTAGGAATGCCAGTCTCGAGCCGGTGAAAAAGAAGAAAAAAAGATGGGAAAGGATGGGAAAGGGAAGGCCCCGGGAAAATGCCGCCTTGGCAGACAACCCACGGCCCTGAACCTGCCTTTTCGAGAAGCTGTGGGCTGGGACATTGGCCGAGGCTGCCGAACAAGTGTGGTGCGATTGGTGGACGTTCCCAGTGCTCTTCTTTCTTCGGAGTGAACCCGGGTCCACATCTTGTTTTCAGCTCTCCATTTCCAACATTTTCATCCTCGCTTTCGCTGTCCGTGTAACAAGATCGCTTTTCCCACGTTGCCGACCGGTATTGGAAATACTAGGGCTGATTAGTTAGGCTACGAAGCAGAGTTATGTACTCGTTTTCTCGGGCGGTACGAGTTACTTGCCTAACTTGGGGGAACACAAGCAGTCCGTTCCTCCGCAGGTTCCTCCGTTCCTTCGTCCGACTGGGTCTCTCCTAGAGGTCAAAACCTGCTTTGTGCCACATGCCATCCGCACATGATCCCTTCTGGCAGTCAACGATACCACTCTCTCCTCTTTTGCGACTTAGCTTGCGAACCTGCAGGCGCCGAGTCTCTCGCACACTAACCCGCGTCTATATAGGTATTAAGCTTTGGTCCCGTTAGCGAGCTTCCGGCGCACGGCTCACGATCCAGCTACAGCTTTCGCAATTTACCTATCGGGGAAGTTGGCTGCCCTGGGAGATGAACGAGGATTTGAAAACAAAGCATCCACAACTAGAGTTGAACCCCGAGCGAGCGGGCGGTGGTCTGTTTACTGATCTGAGGAACTCATTGCCGGCATGCCCTTCAAGCGAAGACGACCGGTACTTGCGCGGGCTGAATTGAACCCCTGGTTCGGGCAGCGACAGCGAATGGGGAACGGCATGGCGCGCGTCCTTGCAGGTTGTCTTGCCGGGCACGCGGGGGCGGGGGTTGCAGTTCGGTTGCGGCCCCAAGTCTTAAAATGGCCGAATCCCGTCCATCCTCGTCGCTTTTGGGCTCTCGCCCGCTTCTTGGCTGTCTCCTAACAGGTGCGGCTCCTTTTTCCCGATCGCCGTGGATGCCATGTACCTGGAATTCAGATCTGCAGTCGGGGAGCCGACGTCACATCGTTGATTAAACGGCTGGTTGAGCGCCCCCGGCGCGTCTGCCCTACGCGCTCTGGGCTTTAAGACATCGAGACGGTATCTTGAATAACCTCATCCTGCTCCCGCGTTTCCTTGTGCCTTCTCTTGTGTTGGTGTTCAGCTTGTGTTCAGTCTAGAGACTTTAGAGTTGTGACGAACCTACTCTTGCTAAGTCCGCGAGGGCTGAGACGACGCGGCTACTATGGTCTACCACGCGAGTGCCGCGCGGCTCTCGCTCGCCTTGAGCCTTTTCGCTTCACCTGCCCTTGCTCGTAGTGTTGGCCCAAGGGATCCGGTCCCCGAGGGATACCATGCTGCCCCTTACTATCCTACGCCACATGGAGGCTGGCTTGATTCATGGCAGGATGCATACACCAAGGCCCAGGATTTGGTGTCGCAGATGACCCTGGCTGAGAAAGTAAACATCACGTCTGGGGTCGGGATTTATATGGGTAGGCCATTCTCCGGACACTGCTAGCAATGTACATGCTAATATCGTGAATAGGGTCAGTATCAGACAACCCGACGTATCACCCTTTGCTAATTATTCAGGCCTTGTGTGGGAAACTCCGGAAGTGCCGACCGTCTAGGCTTCCCTCAACTCTGTCTCCAGGACTCCGCTCTCGGCGTGTCGTCTGTTGACAATGTGACCGCGTTCCCTGCGGGCATCACCACGGGCGCGACCTGGGACAAAGCCCTGATGTATGCCCGCGGAGTTGCCATGGGCAAGGAATTCCGGGGCAAGGGAGCCAACGTCCACCTTGGCCCGTCAGTTGGCCCATTGGGACGGAAACCCCTGGGCCGGGCCGTAACTGGGAGGGATTCGGTTCCGACCCGGTGCTTCAGGCGAAGGCCGCCGCCCAGCATATCAAGGGCATCCAGGAGCAGGGTGTCATCGCCACGATCAAGCACTACATTGGCAACGAACAGGAGATGTTCCGCATGTACAACCCATTCCAACCGGGGTACAGCGCCAACATTGGTAACATGTCCCGACCGCAAGCAGTCGCGCGACAGATATGCTGACCAAGCGCAGACGACCGGACTCTTCACGAGCTGTACCTGTGGCCGTTCGCCGAGGCTGTGCACGCCGGCGTTGGTGCTGTGATGACGGCATACAATGCTGTGAACGGTTCTGCTTGCTCCCAACACAGCCACCTCGTCAACGGCATCCTCAAGGACGAACTTGGATTTCAGGGCATGGTGATGTCCGACTGGCTGAGCCACATCTCGGGTGTGGATTCGGCCTTGGCCGGTCTCGATATGAACATGCCAGGCGACACCAACATCCCGCTTTTTGGTTTTAGCTTGTGGCAGTATGAGCTGACTCGGTCTGTGTTGAACGGTTCCGTGCCCGTGGACAGGCTAAACGACATGGCTACCCGAGTTGTGGCCTCTTGGTACAAGATGAAGCAGGATAAAGACCACCCACGACCCAACTTCTCGTCTAACACGCGAGACCGGAAACGGGCTTTTGTATCCGGCGGCTGTCTTCTCCCCTATCGGGCAGGTCAATTGGTTTGTCAACGTCCAAGATGACCACAACCTGGTCGCCCGCCAGGTGGCCCAGGACGCCATCACGCTTCTGAAGAACAACGGCAGCCTTCTCCCGCTATCCGCCTCGAGCAAACTCACCATCTTCGGCACCGATGCGCAGGTCAATTCCGCAGGGCCGAATGCTTGCCTCAACAGAGCGTGCAACACGGGCACACTTGGCATGGGCTGGGGGTCTGGTGTGGCGGATTACCCCTATTTCGATGACCCCATCTCGGCCATCAGAAGGAGAGTCCCGGACGTCAAGTTCCACAACTCGGACAACTTTCCCTCTCATCATTGATACGCCCGCCGCGGACGACATTGCGGTGGTCTTCATCAGCTCCGACGCAGGAGAAAACAGCTTCACCGTCGAGAACAACCACGGAGATCGCGACTCGGACAAGCTGGCGGCCTGGCACGGCGGCGACAAGCTCGTGCAAAAAGCCGCCGAGAAATTCAAGAACGTCGTAGTTGTCGTGCACACTGTCGGCCCTCTCATCCTCGAGTCCTGGATCGACCACCCCTCCGTCAAAGCCGTCCTCTTCGCCCACCTCCCCGGCCAAGAAGCAGGCGAGTCCCTCACCAACATCCTCTTCGGCGACGTCTCTCCCAGCGGCCACCTCCCCTACTCCATCACCAAATCCGCCACCGACGTCCCCGACAGCATCGCCAACCTCAAAGGCTTCGCCTTCGGCCAAGTCCAGGACACCTACTCGGAGAGCCTCTACATCGACTACCGCTCCATGCACTACCAATCCATGCAACCGCGCTTCGTCTTCGGGCCACGGCCTCAGGTACACCACCTTCACCCTCACCAACGCCACCATCCACCCCATCACCACACCCCTCACCCTCCTCCCCCCACCGCGCACCCCCAAAACCCCACCCCCCATCCTCCCCACCAGCCTCCCCCCCGCCTCCGAAGCCTACACCCCGACCAACTTCCCCAAAATCTGGCGCTACCTCTACCCCTGGCTGCCCCAGCACGAGGCCGACGCCGCGCGCGCCGTCGGCGCCGAGGGCAAGAAGAAGTACGCGTACCCGGCGGGGTACTCGACGGAACAGCGGCCGGGGCCGGCCGCGGGCGGCGGCGAGGGCGGAAACCCCGCGCTGTGGGACGTGGTGTGGGAGGTGGGCGTGACGGTGACGAACGTGGGGGGGGAGTTTGCGGGGAGGGCGTCGGTGCAGGGGTATGTGGAGTATCCCGAGGGGGGCGTGTATGAGACGCCGAAGGTGCAGTTGAGGGATTTTGAGAAGACGGCGGTGTTGAGGCCTGGGGAGAGTGAGAGGGTGGTGTTAAGGCTGACGAGGAAGGATGTGAGTGTGTGGGATGTGGAGCTGCAGAATTGGGTGGCGCCGGGGGCGGAGGAGTTGGGGGGTGGGAGGTATACGGTGTGGATTGGGGAGGGGAGTGATAAGTTGTTTTTGGCGTGCTATACGGATAGTGGGAAGTGTGAGGGTGGATTGGAGCCGCCGGTTTGAGGGGGGTGGTGGTTTGTTTTTTGGTTGTGTTTTCCTTCTTTCTTTATGGAGACGGTAGTAGTTGTTCTAGTAGTGGGCTTTTGAATAACTAGTGGTATCATGATTAGTTAATTGTAGTATTTATTAGCGCGAGGGAGAGGTTCCCGGATGAAGTGATGTGTTTAATAATGTAGGAGTCAACATTGTGCAATGACATGTGAGAAGATGTGAGGATTACGCTCGCCTATAACCTGAGGCTATTCTTTAACGGCCCGGCCACCTCCCCGAAAGAACGCTGACCGGCGAGCTTTTGCCCTCACGATGAACTAACTCAATGTTCTTTTTTTTTTAATTCCTCTAACATTCTGATGGAGTGCTTATTCTAGGATGAAAATAGCTGTGTGGCCAGCGGTTTAGTTTTCCAATACCTCAACTTCCTCATCCTTGCGTCTGTGTTAGGGGATATATGTTTCGAGATACTCGTCATATTACTGATCGTCAGGTTAGCCCGCGCCAAAGATTAGAAGAACGGGCAGAACAATCAACTCAATGGTTGCCGAATTGGCCTGTTAGAATACGAGCGCCTCGTCGGTTGCTGCTTCTTTTCTAGCAACGCCGAGCTGACGCACGCGGATGACAGGCGCGGATGGGTGTCAGTTGTTGATTGTCAAGACCCTTGTTCCACAAGTAACCTTTGTATATGTTCTCATAACATTCGCCAGCACCTCTTTGGCCAACCTGCCAGAATATCGTCCTAAGTGAGCCTAACCCTGACCCGCTGGGAGCAGGAACACACACAAGCGCTCAATCTGCACCCAGTTGCCCGACCTAACAAGAGATTGACCATTTCAGGAAACCTCTAACCCAGTATGATACATTTTACACCTCCAAGGTATAATACACACAGTCCCCGCCATCTCCCCATCCCCCCTCCCAAACCCCCCCTCCAACCCCCCAACACCGCCCTAATGCCCCAACTTCTTCCTCCCCTTCGCCCTCCTCCGCGAAATCATTTTCTGCCCGCCCTTACAGCGAAGGCGGTTGAGAAAGCCGTGGCGGCGCTTCTGGATCAGGCGGCTGGCGCCGGACATGTTTGGGCGGGGTCCGCAGCGGATCTGGCTGGCGCAGCCCGCGAGCGCCGGGTGCGCCGTAACAGACGTCTTGGCTAGCACGTCCGCTACCTCGCCCGGTTGTCGTCGTTTCGGACATCGTTGTTGGTGTGAAGCGCTGGGCGTTGGCGGCGCGGAAGAGGGGTGATGGGGTGGTGAGGGTTGGGCGCAGAGTGGGGAGGTGGGAGATGCTGCTGCGTTCGGGGGAAGGGGGTGGGTTAGTTGGTTGTCTGTTGGTTTGGTTGTGGAAGAGGAGGGGGGGAGGTGGTGACATACCGAGCAACGGTGGGTTTTGTGGTCGCCAGAGTGCAGCGCGGAATTAGCTGGGCGGTCGGCCGCCGCAGCACCGCCTGGAGGAGCGGGGATTGGAGACTGACTCTGGACATCGTGCCGCGACTTCTCACCTCTCTTCGCTCTTTCCGAAGATCGATCGAGTGTTCGTGGTGCTGTAGGAATGCGCCGCCGACTATGGCAAGTCCCTCCAAAGTTTTGGCGAGGTTCGTTCAAGGTGCCAAGCGGGCCTTTCGGAGTGGTTGGCGGCTGGCAGAAGTGGCCCCACAGTTGTCAATATCCTGACGACGCAACAGCAAGGGATTGAAGAGGAGATTGGTCGTCCACGAAGCTTATTGGGCGCTGAATTGGCCAAGACAAGGCAATGATGAAGTTAGCTGTATGTGCTCTTACATTTGACTTTTATCTGCGTTGATCGCAGGGGCTTGTAGTTGGTTCCGCTTTCTTGCCCTGATATGGGGTTAGGGATGATTATGGAGTGAAACAGTCTCCCACGGCAGTTGTCGGCCAGAGTATCCCGTGAAGCGCTGCAAGTTATTGGAGGTAGAGGTAGATGGTGCTCAATAGTTTCACATTCTCGCTTGTCTAGCGTATACTACAGCAAAAAAAAAAAGAAAAAAAAAAAGGTACATTCCCGATCTACAACTCGTCTCTGCCAGTTGCAGTCGCAACATCCTCCTTGGCCGCCTCCTTGTCACCACCCTTCACCTCCACTTTCTCGGTAGGCTGCCAGTTCAGGGCCTTCAAGCGCTCCGATAGGATAGGGTGCGAGAAGTGGTAACTAGCAAACATCCAGTCGGCATCCATGGTGCTCAGGTTCTGAATCTGCAGCTTGATCATTGCGAGCGAGCTAGCTCGGTGTTGTACCCGAGGCCGTTGGCAAAAGCCGTCAGCCTCGAACTCAAATTTGCGGCTCAGAATGTTCATCAATAGCTTGATGACGTTGTCAAGGGGACCGAGAATGTCCGAAAAGAGGAGGAACCCGACGATGATAGGGTGTTGGTTGGTGAAGCCAAAGTCCGAGTAGAGAGAGTTGTTGTTGACAAAGACCGAGCAAGAGAGCGAAGATGTAAAAGAAGTGCGCCTGTAGGCCGTTAGTATACAATATAAGCAAGAACAAGACCGACTATGTTGACTGACCTGAGAAATACCGAACAGCTTGGTGGTGTGGCCCAGGCTCCAGTGGCCAAGCTCATGTGGACAGGGACGGCGACAACCCGGTCGTTCGTTCTCTTCTCATCTCAGTCTACGCTCTTAGATGACAATGTGCTTCTTCC